CCATCACCGTCGCCTCATGGTCGAGCACGTCGGTGTATCCGTTCACCGCGCGCTGGTTCAGCCAGCCAGTTGCAATCCTGCGGTGCTTCCGCCTGGAAATAGCACGTCGTTAGACCTCCTCGTCTACTCAAGATGGATGCAGCCTATCACTCACCGGCGGTCGTTGTATGGCGTGGCGGTGATCCCCCGACCAACAAAGACGAGCTGGCTCTTGATGAACATCTCCTTCCGAGACGAGAATACGGATCCGTTCGTGACCATGAGATCCTTGCCGATGCCAGGGTCGGAGACAACAACAAAGAGTTGGTTCCCGAGCCACATTGAGTAGAGGGGGCCGAACTTCTTGCGCCAGTAATCGAGGGTCAGCTCAGGATAGTGTGTCAAGAAAGGGAACGAGCCTGGGGACGGTCAGTATCGACGATGGTCTCAGCGTGGGGCCAAATGGACATACCGACTAGCGGGAGGCCTACAGGACCGTCTGGGATGGGGTTTCCGTCCTTATCCCTTGGGCGGCGGCCGTAAACATCAATTTTGGTGAAGAGTGGTAGGAGCCAGAGGCATGCAAGCAGGAGGGCAGCCACTGTAGTTAATCCTGGGCTCAGTGCGGTGTTGAACTCAGTAAGGCCAGAGGAGAGGCCGAGCTTGGGCCATGCGGAGGCGGAGGGCGACGGGTAAGCAGACATCTTGTTGCGAGTAGTGATTGTGTTGGTGGTGAGGAAGATGGTGATGAAGTGAGTAGACGACTGTTGCCTGTCTGTCGAACCTGGAGGCGTTTGCGCATCTTACATGTGGCCAGGTAGTCTGCGCGACGTTTGCGAAGTCGAATGCGCGGATGTATGGGCTGCGCCCGCGAGACATACCGCCGTAATTTGTCGGGCCCTGGGCTTGATTCTTGCAGCCCTGATTGTCGAGTGTGCGATGCCGATGGAAGGAGCGCACCAATGAAGGACGAGCGGCCTGCTTCAGGCGCAAGAAGCACCTCGGATGCTGTAGCAGCTTTCAGCCATTATTGTCCGTGACACACACCTTGCAAGACTCTGCGTAGGTATGAGGTCCCGTCTGATGCGGCAGAAGCACTGGCGTTATTGAGGTGAGTGCGAAGTGTACCCCGGTCCCTTGAATGTTTATTCTACTGCACTGCCTGACTAGAGTAAAGGCACCATTAATCCTTGATATTCACATACATGGTGAGCAGAGGGGCCATGTTGCCTTAACGTTTTGATATCACCAGAACGGCTCATAGCATATGAAATGGTTTTCGACTGTTGGTTGCGTCAAGGCTAGGGTCGATCTAGATTTAGGTCAACTCTCAGTACATCAATAATTCCTCGTAACAGTTTCAATTTGTCAAACATGTAAACGAAAGAGGTAATCTTCGTTTTGCGCAACAGGTTGAACTCTTAACTCGAACTTGGACTAGAAGACGGTTGAGTACGTGGGAAGTGGCGGAACATTGTTGGTGGCGCCACTGCCAGTGCCTATTGCCAGTCCTCCATCGCTGCGCTGCCTGTCGGCCGCACTGAGATGTCTTCGCAACTCGAGCTATTACCCGGTGATGGACTTTCTGACCTCCTTCGCTCTTGGTTGAATGTCAGCCTCTGTGACGATGCACTCGAGGCTGTCGATGCGGACCGCGTCAGCGCTGAGCCTGTTGTATGTGGCCATGGCTGTGCTAAAGCGTACATCGAATATCAATAAAAATACAGAGACATAGACTTTAGTATGGTCGCATGCCAGGACGTACTGCTGAGGTAAGCGTTGGCGGACGCATTGCGAGCACGGGACTTTTCTACAGTATTCCGGATGAGTAAGTTGTACACATTGCTGTGTTGGTTTTTAACTGACTTTGTATCAAGGAAATGCTTCGGCGAGAACGCAGGGTTTGTTTTTTGATCTGATGATGGCTGAGTATTCAACGATCAAGCTCAAACAAGACCGGAAGGGAATTATTTAACGATAGAATGACTGATTTGAACATCAGTTATCGAGGCTGCTTGAGAAGAGACCTACAGTGTCCAGTCACACTCAGATGTCCTCACATCTATCAAAAATATGCATAGGAGTTCACCCTATACGAACCCCGTGCCATTCGTGCAAAGTTCATGAACGGGAAAATCACGCATAGTAGATGAACAAGTGAGGCTAGTCTTTACACTGCCGTTTAACCTTCGTAGCCATAAGGACGCTGGAGGTGGGCAGATACCAGAGAGACATTCCTGTCGATAACATACCGGTAGCATAGGCCTCCCTTATCCACCACCGGATTCTGAGGTACGCGACCATCTAATTTTAGAGTGTCCCAGATCTGTGAAGGACGTGCATGTATACTACCTCAGCTGGTTCAAATATCTCTTCGGTCAACCTAGGGAAACTCTGAAGGAGATCCCGCAGCAGCATACGTACACTGATCTAGCTTGATATTGGCGGTCCTATATGTCTAATGGCTCATTCAACGAGACATATCGGGAGAAGTTGTATAGGAGTGTGGCGGAAGCTAATCGCGTATACTGCTACGATTCTAGCTTGGACATGTAATCACACATTTTATTGCTCAAGAAATCGCGTTACCGTCCAACAGATACAGATGATGCGGTCGCGGAACCAGCCTAGAGCGGCCAATTTACACATGGCTCCTCACAAATATCAACAGGAACGCCTTGGAGGCACACGCTCGCCAGGAGCCAGACATGTTGAGTGCTGTGATGAACATGAAGCCGGTGTGGGCATGGGGGTCGGACGACAGCTGGAATTGGGTATCGAAGGTCCACCGGCCTCTCAGCGAGGACATTCCAGTTGAAAATGAACGGGTCGTCGTCGGCTCTTATGTCAGAAGTAGAAGAAAGAGACACGCATATCTGTTCTCATTAAACGCAATGATGCGAATGTTTAGTAAGGCAGGGTGATGTGCCGTTTAAATATATGTCTTGCTACGTCCCGGCCATCTAAGTTAGAATCTGTTAGAATGCACGCCTCAAACACTCTTCTCGGAGCCTTCTTCATGACAACAGAGAGAGATTTTCATGTGCGTTGTGAGTAATTTACACGCCTTCCCTAATTGATTTGTCATTCGTACGCTCGAGTGTTCGCAACGTGTGAGCATTTCACGCCTGAGTCGACGTCGCACGCATAATCTAATGAGGTCTCATTGGGCGACACTGGTTCTTATTATTCAAGTTCTGGAATCTGCTCTGGGGTCCCTAGTTCTCGTACAATATTCGGGAAATCATAAGGGAGAAGGGGAGGCACGTTCAGAAACGGAGACAGTGAGACGAGAATGCATGGTACTACGGTGCGTGCTCTTTCCGGCCTTCTCTTCTGATTGAGGCTTCTGTTAGTATATCGTGGAGAAGATTCCATTCATCCAGATATTCACGCGGCTGCTCTCCGTTCCGCACCTTCACCAATGTGTCCCTGTCGACCATATACACTTTCTGCTGCATGAGGCCCGCCGCTTCCAAGTTTTGTGCGACGTTCTTCCTAGTCTCGGAAATGTACATCTGTCGAGCCATGAGAAGTCTGGGACCCTCGTCTTCGTCATCCAACTCCAAATCTTCCGCCAGGTTACTGATATGCTGTTTCGACTTGGACCGCACGATATATGCAGGGATTTTGAATCGCGCGCAGTTCCGCAAAATCGCGAGGTCGGTCGCCATGAATCGGTTGTCAATGAGGACCAGGATGCAGTCAAAGACGTAGAGACCTTGGTCGTTGAAGTAAATCCAGTCGGGTACGTCTAATGTCCCTGCCCCTGGAACGTCGTACCAGAAAAACGGGACCTCACTGTCTGGGTCGGCATATCGAGCGATTGTTTTGGTCGTTTCGACAATACCAACAGGTGCCTTGAGCGCATCTTTAGAGTTGTTCTTTATGCCACGGAATGCGTTGATAAGCGACGACTTGCCACTTCCTGAGACGCCTGCGATTGCGAAGTGAAAGACTCCGTCTCGATACCTCAGCTTTTTCTTCGTCGCCTCAAATTCTTCTGTGGTTGGGATGACCACAGGCCTGATTCCCTCCTTTAGTGATTTCTCTGCCTTCTGGAGCGCCGCCCGTGCTTCCGCGGCTGTCCTCTCTGCTACCACCTTTGCATGCTCTTTTCTGTCCATCTCGAGCCTGATCAATCTCACCTCTTCGTCTGCTATCCTCTGGTCCTCTTCCGCTCTCAGTCGTCTCTCCTCCGCCTTCTGTGCCTCTTCCTCTGATTTCCATCTAGCTTCTTCTGCCTTCCTCCACTCCTCTTCTGCCATTTTTACTTCATTATTGGCTCTCTGTCTCTCCTCGTGTGCAGCATCTCTCTCTTCCATCACCCTTCTCCTTTCCTCCTCCGCTCTCCTTCTACTTTCTTCCAGCACTGTCTTCTCCTGCTCGGCGCTCCTCACCTGTGCCTCCGCATCTCGCCGAGCCCTGTCCGCCCGAGTGCGCTCGCTGTCCGCCCATCGCAGCTCCTCCGCAATCACCGCCCGCTCCCTCTCCACTGCTTGCATGCGTGCGTTGTCTTCCCTGCGATCCGCTTCCGATCTCTCTCGTCTTGCCTCGGCATCGTCTGCCCTCTCCCTCTCCTCCCGGATCTGGCGCTGCAGCTCCTCCATTACAGGATTCGGTCGGACTGTGCCCGAGGCCGCGCTCGAACGCAGACCGGAGAATAGTCGAACGACTTTGGGAACTACAGCTGCGGCACCGAGACATGCACCGATGGCGAGTGCAGGACCAACGATTTCGGGTGTGACGGCGAGCAAGGATAGTCCGACGCCCATCGCAAGTGTTGGTAATGAGATACGATAATCTTCTCGCTGTCTCTGTATTTTTCCACAGCCTACAGACAAACGCAAGGTCTCAGATGCGGCAATGAGTGCTTGCGGCTGCGAGAGGTTAGGAGCAGGTCTAAGGGTCCCGATGTCGCTAGAGAGACGCACGATCCACGTTTTCGAAGCTTCGAGATGCGATGTCCAACCAGCGGTCAGCGATATCAAGCTTCTATCGATACCTGTGGGAAACTCAGTTTAAATGAGGAATTTATTCTGTGTGTGTGCATGGCCGAGGCGATCAGGGCAACTACGGTAAGGTGTTTTTCGAACATACTCAGCGAGATGTCAAGAACATGCCTGGAATCACGACTTAAAAGATTAATTTACTACGATCTAGACCTACACTTACGCTCGCGCTACATGTTATCTACTGTCTACATAGGGCTCGGCCCTCGCGGACAATAAAGGGACCCAAAAAAAAAGGTTAATTTAAGAATATCATTCCACTCCATTCGTCTATAAAGCGCTCCCATCCATAGCAATGACCAAGATGATCACTTTTGGAGCTAAACACCTGCCCCCCACCTTTGCATCTCACTCCTGCCGCACTCTTCTGGGGTTATCCGAGAGTAACGAGTAATTGAAGGATTAGCCTAAGAAATTATTCCTGGTAGGCACCTACCTCCCGCGGAATGTTAGGTATGGCTACATCCTCACGGGTAATATGAAGAGCGAGACTGTACGTACCCCTTTCCCTTCGTCGCTGTCTCTCGTTCCCTGCAGGCCACTTACTGAGTGATGTGGCTTACGTACCTATCGCACCTATCGCACCGCGCAGCTCAAGAAAATCTCCATGCTCCGCAAGGCTGCCGGCCCCGAGCTGGAGCATATCGTGGGGACAAATATATATCTCGTGAACATGCCGCACGATTGAAACGATATGAACGAGGTTTACATGCAGGTGCGTAGTCTCCGCACCATCGTGCATACGCTGATTTTCTCTACTTGCCTCATGTTTCGAACTCGGCAGTTCTTTGACAAAGTAGCGATGTCCGCATGTGTTGGTGTGACTGCACTTCCACTGGACGTGATTGTTGATCTTGAGTGCTCTGCCGACCTCCCAGATGCTTCTAAAGCCTCGTCTATCTTAAGTGTCCCGATATTATGACTATCGCCCAACGTACTTAAAATCGAGTGCTAGATTACGAGGGAAATTAAGCGTTTGCTCAAGCCTTGCAGAAAGATTAGAGAAATCATCCTACAGATAATAAAGCCACATACAAAATATCTTTTCCATCGCCCCGTCGGGACTTCGGGCCTAAGAGGTACAACTTGAGTAACAAAGCATCCCAGTCGTGGCGGCGGTCCATCTCACTTGCCCCACGCAACTTCGCAACTTCCTTGCGGGGATAGGCACCGTTCACAGCATGCAGAAGCACAGAGAGCCGGGACTTGATCACCTCGACGCCTTCCTCGCTCATGTCGGGAATTCGCTCATCTGATCTACTCCGATGCTCCGAATAATGGCGGAAAAGGTCTTCGCAACAATTTGCGACATCCGAGTCAACAGCTGGCACGTCCACCTGCCGGCGAGAGTTGAGTCAACCTGATGTGCGAATGATATTGCAAGTACTGAACTTTTTCAAGACTTGGGCCAATGAAAGCCCGTCATCTCATCGTAAAATGTGATCATCTTGTTTATTCCCTTTTCCTCGTCGCTAGTCTCCGGTAACTTGATGTGGCCTATGGCGAACGCATTCCGTTCGAATAGCCAGTTAGAAATGAAGGCTTCTTCTTCAAGACCAGCGTCACTCATTGCTGCAAAGCTGTAAGCACGATTCAATGTCATAGTTCACAAGAGAAGGTACTGTGTATACTTGGAGTTCCCCATCCGTGAGGATGATCTCGGCCGGGGCTTTGAACCTGTTTCAAATGGACCTCTCGTTTGTTCACTAGTGGTCCTAGTTTTCGATGAAGCCTTCCACTGGGCTTTGCTGTATTACGAGATTGGCCGATGTCATTTTGATCAACGAGAGTACAAGCCTACCCGCTTCGCTTTCCCTCTTCTTTTCTGTGCACTTTCAGCAATGACACTCAGATCGGCACTCATCTCAGTGAAAGATGAAGGGAGTACGCCACACTCAGCAGGTGGCGACGGCGTGCGATAAACAGACGATGTCTCGCTACTGAAATTCCACAAGTCAGTATGCCGAACATATCGATAAGATTCAATAATGACCTGGTGGAAGCACTCTGCACGTGCACATTGTAGGCCCAGTGGGCTACACTATTCCAGGCGTGTTCTCTTCCAGGCGTGTTCTCCTGATTCAGCTATGCAATCGATTAGGTCTGATCGCCATGAAATTGGAGGGTGGGCAATGTCGAGGTCCATGGAGAGGGCTTTGCCAATATCCCGGAAGTGCTCGTGCAGTCCTAATATGAAGTGCGCAAATGCAAATGCAGAGATGGAGTCTGTAAGGTCGAAAATTCCCAGAGACGAATCCGGCGAACGGGAGCCGACAGCAAACGCCAAGTGCGGAGTAGGCTTGGAATTAATGAGCAAGAGATCATGCAAAGAGCTGTTGGTTCAACGAACGAGCTGATTAGGCAAGCACACGTTATGATCAAGCCATCCCAGCACAACCTGACCGATGACGCCCGAGTTTTCCAATACGACACCGACGGCAGGTTCGCGAATGCCCAGGACGTGTTGCTGATACAGCATACTGCACATCAGTGGCACGATGTTCTCACTATCCGCAACAACGAATGCGGGGATAACTGCAGAAAAGCGCCTCCCATGACCCGGTAGTAAGTGAGCATCGAATGGAAGATGAATAGACTCCTGTGTAAAGAGATAGGCTCAATACTATTCTGATTCAACGTCAGTAAAAACCTACCCGTTCGTCGTCAGGGTCAACTTCCATTTCGCTCTTTGAGCTTGAGGACTGAGAAGTATCTGCGGCAGTGAGAACATACGAGAAGAGGAGCGTGGCGGTCCCATCAATAAGTTTGCTTCGCTCTCCGTCTACAGTTCGTGGCACTATAAAGGGCTCATTCGCGCTGGAAAGTTGCAATAACTCGGGTCGCAGTTACACGACAACTACCTTCACGGATACTCACAGCACATAAATCTCCCGAGAGAGCGATCGCACGAGCCCTCTTATCATCACGGACCACAGTGCAACTGTGGGCCGCGGTATTCCGTTGTCCTTGTTGTCAAGTAGAGCCCACAAGTCGGACGCAGTCGAGAGTATCAAGGCAAACACGCCTCTTAAGCGGGTGAGTACGGGTCCTCGGGCGAAGCATCAAGAGATCGCTGGCCGCCCTGCGTAGCTGCAGTGTCCTGAAGGAGTGGAAGTACTTGTAAGGCCTCCTCATAAGCAAAAGGATATGGACCTGTGGCAAGCCAACTCGGGAGAGGTTGCGAGAGCCGGCTTGCCAGAAAGCTCACAGAGGCAGGCCAGCCAGAGGGTCCAGCTACATCGTGAATCACTTCGCTCAGCGGTGCAAAGTACGAAGCTAGCTTGGAGCTATCCTTGAAAGGGTTAGGACTTGGGCTTGAAACTAGACGGGAGGTACCACTGAGTTAGCGCTATTATGATACATCACGCGATGTAGGTTCCACACCGCAGGAGACCGCGCGCAGGTCATCCTAGAGGCTTTTTCCCAACTTTTTCTTCATGACTCCTCCATTATGGCATTCGGTCGAACTGTGCTTGCTGAGGCCGCGCTCAAACGCAGACTGGCGATCACTTCAATGCCTTTGTGAACTAAAGCCGCGGCACCAAGACATGCACCGAAGGATCAACGATTTCGGGCTGGCGGCGACCACTGATAGTTCGATGCCCATTGTACTTATACGTATTGCTAAGACGATCAGCGCGGGTACGGTAAGGCTGACGCTGAGCCAAATTGGCCGAAGCACACCAATGTGTACACAGATGAAGAAGAGCAGCGCGTATGGATCATACAGACGAAGACCTCCTCCTACGTGCTTCGGACAACAAATCGGCGACTAACCTCAACTCGTCGATGTAATCATCAGGCTCTTTTCCACATACAGTCTCTACGATGTTGTCCTTGTCGATCATATACACTCTTTGCTGTGGCAGATTTACACTCTCTAGGTTCTCCGCGACATTCTCTTTGGTCTTGTTGATATACTCCGTGCGTGCTCTTGCACGGAGCCTTGCTTCATCTTCACCATCCTCGCGCACCAAATCCCTCGTCAGGTTGGTAATGTGTTGTTTTGATTTCGTGCGCACGATGTATGTGGGAATCTGGAACCGTGCACAATTTCGCAGAATGGCCACGTCCGTCGCTAGGAAGCGATTGTCGAACAAGACAATGATGCAGTCGAAGACATACAACCCATGATCGTTGAAGTACGTCCAATCGGGAACGTCCAAGGTACCTGCGCCCGGGATATCATACCATGCGAACGGATATGTGCTGTCCGGGTCAACATATCTGCGGATCTCTTTCGTTGTCTCGATGACGCCGACAGGTGCTTTTTCCAGGCTTTTCGAGCTGTTCTTGAGTCCTCGGACGGCATTGATTAGCGACGACTTTCCTGAACCAGAAGTACCAGCAATCGCGAAATGGAACATGCCTTCGTGGTACTCCAGTCGCTTCTTCGTCGCTATGAAAATGTCCCTCGAAGGGACGACGATCGGAGTGTAGACTTTGTTTAGTGCCTTCTCTGCTTGCTGAAGCTCCACTCTAGCTTGAGCCGCCTTGCGCTCAGCTTGCTCCCGAGCTCGAGCTCCCTCCTCTATCTCCAACTTCGCCAACTTCAGGTCCTCGGTGGCCTTGGCCAACTCTTGCTCCACTTTCTTCAATCTCACTTCGTGTGCCTTCTTAGCCTTATTAATGCGCTTGCGGTTCTTCTTGGATGGCTTAGCGTGGACCTGGCCTTCCACGTTTTGGCCCTCTGCAGAGGCCGCGTGTTTCGGAGAGTCAGTACGAGCCTGTTCCTCCGCCTGCTTGCGCTCATTTTCCTCCATCACTCTCTGCTTCTCAATATTTACCTTTTTCTGCTCTTCTCTTTGATCCTCCATCCTCTTACGCTCCCTCTCTGCCTTCTCAACGTACCGCATTAGATTCGCGAGCTGCTTTTCTGCCCCTTGCTTTGCAAACTTCTCCTTGCGTAGCTCTATCTCTGCGAGCTCGGCGCGGCGCTCTATCACTCTGATGCGCGCCTCTACTTCCTCCATAGTGGGATTCAGGGAAGTCTTTCTCATTATTAAATCGCGTAATATGTCCTTCAGCAGACTAATGATCTCTGTGAGCGCAGTGGTGGCCAGGATCTTTTGAAAGACCTGGGGCGTTGCGATTGTTAATGTGGACAGGGTTTTCCCCATAATTACGGCGTTGTGAGCGTAGTCCGGAGCTCTTCTGTGAGAAATTGTGTAGATCGCGAACGTATGTCTTGTTGACAATATTGCACTAACCTGTATCTTCCCTCTACGGACGTGGGGAGGAGAGGAGAAGAGATGAAGGATAAGGTTCATGATTGTGAGTCCTCTATATAACATCGCGAGCGCCCATGACAGAAGCTTAGCTTATGGCAGCTTCCAGGGCCTTGTCATACCAACCTTCCTCATCAGGTAATTACAGGCCGTATGCCACGAAGCTTTGCACTATTTCGCAAGTTTGTTGTACCTAGGAGCGCCGACTTCCAGCAAGCGGGGCCAAAGTAGTAAGTGAATATGCTACGTATATGGTCTATTTTAGAGGCCAACATGTATGAACGGCACCCAAGACAGAAAATTATTCTCGCTCACTGTCTCGCGTAATACTCGTGTAGCATGGTGTAACGCGAGACCTGATTCCGCGCGCTGTGCCTTTCCTCCTCCGAAAAGCTGCCCATAGAATGACTCGGCAACAATTGGCGCATCACTGTCGCGGATAGACCACATTGTCGCAACGACGCTCCGGTAGCCAGCCATGAGCATGCCCGCGGCAAGATGAACAGCCTCCTCCGTGAGTGCCTCATCGCCCGTGGCTGTATGGCACGCTGACAGAAATGCAAGCTCCCCGCGGGGGTGTGCACGACGTGCAATCTCCCTCAAAGTCAGTGGGCCGTCGGTCAGGCTGAACGCACTTTCAGTCGGGTGTTTAGGGTGCTGAGTCGCGTGGCAAGCTAAATGAACCCAGTTGTGTCTGCGCATGCCTTCCAGGACAGTCTCTTTATTGGCATCGCGCTCGTTGAGCCGTGTCGTCGGCATGTGGATCGCGCTTTCCCTCGCAATTCGTGCGACAGCCTCGATTTCAATCACGGTTTTCGGTATTGCAGCTTCTCTAGGACTATTGGGGACGGGCTGACTGACCAGCAACATCCCGTTGAAGTCCTCAGACAATTCCTCTCGCTTCTCTAAAAGGATCGATAGGTTGTGCGTATAAGACGAAGCAATATACTCGAATACCTTCCTTCCACATTCTGCCGTGTCATATAGGCCGGCCGCATGGGGCGGAAGAAAAGAAAGAGGACCTGTTGGACACCACCAAATGCGCGGTAGCACGTTATTATTGCCATCTGATATCGGCTACGCAGAGTATGTTAGTACTCCGCTATCGTAGGCTACATGATTGACCACCTTACCTGCAGCTCCAGTGCGCTGATGACCGGCCTGACAACCATTTCCCAGAGTATGGCAAGTATGCGAGTAAAGCGATCAGGTGGGATATCTGGCATCGTACCGCGTGTGTACTCCTCGTCCGATGTCCGCGTCCGAATGCTCGAGCCTTTGAGCATGTCACGAAGATTGTGTTGCAGCTTGAGCCCGAGATTCTTCGTAAATTGGAGGGGCACATGTTTAAGGGTGACTATCTCGTCATCTGTGGTCTGCAAGATAAAAGCGTCGCACCCGGACTCGTGAACGTTGAAGACGACAACCGGACCGCCTAGCATCGAAGGGGCAGATGCGAGCTCGAAAAACGATCTCGCCTTCAGGAAGCTTTCCATCCCCGGAAGCTCCCGCGCCTGCTCCAACAGCGTGTCCCATTCCTCCGCAAGCCTATGCTGTCTCTGTCTGTCCATCTCTAGCACGTTGCGATGGTCATCAACATAGATCTGATCGAAACCTGCCCATGTGCTCTCCAGCCCACTTGATATTGTTACCATCTTCTTGTAAAGGACCGGATCGACATCCTGGAGCTCCTCCTTAGGTGTGCGCAATCGGAGCATTTGTCCCCACACGACCGACCGGCTTTGTTCGAGCCACTCGAGCGCTGTGTGATGATTGCCGAAGCTAGTCGCGACATAGGCTGCGATTTGTCCTAGCTCGCCGATGTTCAAAGCAGATATCTGCGAGTGCTGCTGTGCAGTTGTGCGCCCAGTCCACGCAACGAACGGGATGAGGTCCATAGTTAGCGCGAAAGCCTGGAGGCAATCGGCCTCATCGCCATTCGAGAAACTGAGCCGACCCCATTCTGCTGCGGAGGCGAGCCTTATGCGTGGGTCTGCACCTTGGAGCTGAGCAGCTTTACGAAAGGCATCGATCGCGTCGCCCGTCCAATTTGGAATATCTACACGAGCGAGAAGGATCTCACCAAGCTTTTTCAGGCACATGGCTCTCTCGGATGGCATCTCGGTTGGAACTGTATCAACACACTCTCGGATGACGGACACAACGCGATCGAAGTCAGCCACGGTGGGACCACCATGCCTTCCCTTGGTCCGAACGTCCAGCGAAAAGGCTAGGTCGTGTAAACAGCGATACCTATATGGCCATGTTTTGGGCATCATGCCCAGTACATGCTCGAATGCTTCAATGGCTCGTTCGAGTTTGTCGACTTCGTGGTCGACGAGGTATCGAGTTATAAGGGAGTAACCCAGTTGCATTCTATTCTGTTCTGTACCAGGGCCGTCGAGCACGCACAACTTTTCGCATTCTGCGATTGAGCGGTCCGAGTATGATGGCTTCCGAGATATTATGAACGCGGTATTTAGAGCTGCGACATAACATGCCTGGTAGATGCGGCCAGGAGGTGTAAGGCTCGATGCCTTCTCGTGATACTCGAGTGCCGAGTAGACGTCGGAAATGTCCCCGAAAGTAAAATAGCGTTGTATGTACGTACGGGCAAGTTCGTACATGCCTTTTGCGAGCACAGAAGTATAATCCGCCGACTGGCCTAGATCAACACAAGATATGGCCCGACATGCTTCGGCAATAGCGCGATCTGCATCCCCCAGGGTGCCGGAAGCCATATACGAGTGTCTGAGAGCTGTGCTCAGAGTGAAGCGATACGGCGCGTGGTCTGGCTTTATACCGACCGCACATTCTGCTAGACTGATAGCTCTGACTATGTCTGAACCATTCTCAAGCTTCTCGATACGCATAATAGTCGCATACGCTAAACCGTCGCAGAGCATCGCCTTCGTAAACAAATCATCGTCTCCGTTAAGATCTACAGCACGCTGCAGAAGAGATACCATCCGCTCAATGTGTTCAATGGGCATGGTGTGGGGTTCCTCGTTATAACGTTGAAGAATCTGGCCAGCAAGAAAGAATGAGCAAAGCGCTTGGACTTGAGGGTCGTCACGATTGATCTCGTCGAAATGTTTGACAGCCACTTCCATGCCTTCGTTGGACAGCTCGAATCTGTCGTGAAGGTGACTATACTGGACAATATAGGCGCGTGCGAGGCTATCCCGATAGCCAGACATGTATTCGTCATCATCGGCGATCTCCACGAGCCGTCTACGCAGAGAGACAACCCTAGCAATGTCAGAAGTTACCGTGTTTTCGGAGGCGTCTGCTCCCATATATCGCGCCCATAGTAGATCCGTTAACCGAACTAGGGCATAGATGACCATAGATGAGTTGCCTTGTGAGAGAGTGAGGAACCGGTCATACGCATAGATGGCCTTGTCGACCAAACCAAGCAATTCAAATGCATAAGCCAAGCGAGGCCACGCGGATACGTGTTGGGCATGATTATCAGGAAGGGAACCTATAAGGCACTCGTAGAGTGTGACAGCTTTACCCAAGCGCACTGCTCCCTCTGTAGTCGTCGCGTCAGACTCGGAGGCCAATCTGTACAAGTCTGCAAAAAAGGCGAGGACGTCTGGATTCGTATAGTCCATCGTCAACGTGTTGATGTCACCGGAAATAAGTTGGCTGCGCACACGTTTAGAGCTGTCAACGTTGTGCAAAGGGAAAAAGGACACGCACACAAGCAAACCATTTAGTTCTGTCTTTGGTCTTGACCTGGAAATGGAGATAAATATATATGCAACAGCCATGACAAGAGATGTACTTTAATTTCTTCAAGAACTCATGTGCCTCTCCAAGTCCTTCGGTGGATATGGTTGGATCAGGATTTAAGAAGATAAAAAGAGCAATCTGAGCACGAGAAAGGTTGAAACAATAGGTGGCTCTATTCGCATCGTTCTCCGAGTTTGCGGTGATTTCAACCAATCTCTTCCGCAGAAAGAGTACTCTTTCGATATCCTGCAGTCGCGACGTGCTCCCCACATTGGCCTGTAGTTTGTCCCAGAGCAAATTACCGAGGTTGTAGAGGCAGCCCACCATCAAAGGTGACGAGTCCGCAGCCATCATAAGGAAACGCTCATAGACATCAATCGCTTGGTCTATGCGACCTCGGAACTCCAAAGCCATTCCAAAGTATCCCAGATCTTCAGGCTTCGCGATGTCCTCGTCGGGAACAGACGCTGTTGCACGCTGGTAGAATTTGATGGCGAGATCCACGTAGTGTTCACAGCCCTCTCTGAAGGACAAGTTGTAGTACACTTCTGCAACGTAGGCTAAATTCCTGGGATTTTCCCTGAGGGATGAGAGGTCGACATCAAGGAGGTGGCTTGTTACGCGGGAAGGTTAGGTACATCTCACGCTTAGCTAAACGAGGAACATACTAGACGTAGTCTCCAAGCTCTTCTTTTTGTTTTGACCTGGAGATACATCATGAAATTTCAAAGTAACTTTAGCACTCGAAGATGCTTACTTGAATTGTGCAAGGTCAGCAACCGCGCGACCGAATTCGTCATCTCCAACCACAAGATCGGCTTGGTTTCTGGTATTATAAGCCGTGGTCAGGCTATCATAGTTGTCTCAGTAATATTCCGCAATCGACTAGAGTTCCAGGCTAAGCCTCTCGGAAAATGAATTTTGCTTACCTCCGGAAAGCACGAATAAAAAGACGGTACACAAATAGACTAGTGAAATCTAACCACATAGCGTGATGAAAACAATCTTGAAAGCCCTATATGACACCTGAAGCGTAGACTGTATAGGAGCTTGCGGTCTGGCCATGCATAACTCGCAAGGCTTACAACATCGCCCGCCGCGGTGCTGCATGCATGACATTGCATAATTCAATTGATTGTCGGTCCCACAGTCATTCTTATCTATGCGGAAAACGAAAATCACGTGGATTTTGATGGGATGTCATGCCGCACTGCGGAGTTTAAAATAGCGCGGCGCGTCCGACGCGTTCCTCACATACACCCAAATCGAACTCAGACATACGCACAAAGTTACCTTGCGATACCCCCATCAGCATGCCAAAGCGAAAAGCTCTTGAAGACGATTATGAGAGCTGGATGCTCCCTCATCCCGCCCCAGCCAGATCACGCTCATACACCTCTGCGGCCAGCTCCTACACCCCCGCTCAACCTGTCAGTGCGTCTTCTAGAGCTGTCGGACACCAGCAGCCGCAGGAAAAACGACAGCGAAACCAAAAGGATCCGGATACTCCCGCTTCTGAGAAAAGAGGCGCGATATTTAAGAAAAAATGCCCGAAGAACATACTCGAGCGACTTGACAGAGTCATATCCCAAAGGTAGGGTGCATATTTCGCTTCAATCTCGTTAATCATTCCATATTATAGGTTTTACATGGTGGATAGGAAGAGAGAGAGCAATGAGCTAAGGGAGGAGTTCAGCGTGCTGGGCTCTACAGGAAATGTAAGGGCTGAGTCTGTCTTTATTTAATATAGTTCTGACGTTCGATTAACGGTAGGTTTACTCAGTCATTATCGACAAGAGGCCTTCTTGCAATTGTGAGGGGATTGAGTGCGCGTATGAATTTTCAGCTTAATATTTGACAAAGGTCCGGACGCAACGAAAGGGAATCATTGCAAGCATATAGTGGGTAGCTAAAGCTGGCTAGCGCATACGGCAACCTACTGATGCCATCTCGCAGCTCTTTGTCTTTCTCAAGGGTGCGCATCCCATCTCTCAGATGCTCCTTATCGATGAACCGATACCCCATGTAGTGCTCCAAGTAACGCAGGCTTCCGGATACTGGTATCAAAAGTCTGTTTTACGGCCCCTTGGTCAATACATGCCCTGATATCTTCACCTAGAGCATTGCTCACATCCGAACTCGACGACATCTTCCAGCATGCTCCCCGAGCACCCAACGATGTCACGAACGCTCATGTCCGCGAAGCATATGCTCGTGCTACAGGCAAGGCTATCGCATCAAGCTCGAAATTATCGAAAGACCAGGCACAGAAGAAGCGCATTCCGGGACCTGACGACGATTGTCCAATCTGCTACGAAAATATGCATAAGGTGGCCGAGAATACGCTCGTGTTCTGCGATTCTTGCAGAAATAGCTTGCACAAGGATTGTTTCCAGCAGTGTACGCATTTAGTTTCCCCTCAATTCTCTCATTCATCCTGATTCAAAACTGACGTCTAACACTTGTAGGGGCTGTGGCGGCACGCCAAAAGGGCCAAATAGTGTCGTGTGTGTTCTGCCGTGCGAAGTGGGCTGAGGTCGGTTCCGCAGTCGCGCGAGCAACTGCTGATGGGGCGCACTCTTCTGAGGGGTATCTCAACCTTGGCAGTGCCGCTGGTCTCAGCCCAGTTCGCGATACTAGTTCTTGTGCGTCCCTGATTCCACTCATATGGTTACTGTCATTGACGGAATTATGTTGCAGATTACCATGGCCCAACAAAGGGTAGGCGATACTATGGGTATCAAGAATACACAGACCACGATTGATCGAACAAGACAAGAAAATTCTATTGTAGTTCACGCCACGTTGTATACCCCATCGCTTGCTTACTTCATACAGCATATTATAATCTCGGTAATGTATTGTATATAATTTGATCTATATTATATAATTGGTTCACAGCTATTGAAGCATCCAAGGAATCATAACAGTGATATGTGCAAGTGTGGCGGTCATGCCGAAAAAGACAAATGCACCTTGAGGGTTTGTTCAAACGCTTTGTTGATGCTTGGACCACATCGGATAACTCGTATTGACCAGCCACATTGGATCAAGTATAAGTAGATTCATTCACACTTTGGCCACCGTCAACCTTTCTCCAGTGCCACCCGCTGATACCAGCACTCGTCCACTCCCCACCCCCTTCCATCGACTATCGACCTCAACATGGTAAAAGGCCTCATGGAGAAAGCTCGTCAGTGCCTGAGCGTGGCACCAACGCAAAATTTACGGTGGTATATATCCAGAGCAATACTACCAGTCATGGGCATTCACCCCACCGCCCCGCCCATCCCACCTTCTGGACACAAGTCACATCGAAACAAGCTCACGGTCAGGCCAGAGTCGTTCAGGATTTTAGAAACAATCCATCCAATTTCATCCGACTTCTTCATTGAAAGTGCCAGGCAATGTGAGTGGCTACGATCCATTGTACGCACACAACAAGCGCTGATCGCGCCACGTCCACGCAGTTATGGATGAGAACATTCCCGCTTTTCCGAGTGATTTTGCAGAGTGCATGACGGCGGAGATCACAGTCCCATGCTCACCGGACTTTGCGGTGGTCTCGTCAACCCCGCTGATACCTGCCCAGACAACCGAGATGTAAGTGACCCGACGTCGTGCTCTTATCTTGTAGGTTTACATTGATACCGTCTTCCATAGCGTCGCGCACTGGGTATACATGTTCGCTCTGCACACCGCTCAACGCATCGTAGAGCATGCATTCGGAGAATGCCTTGATGCCAGGCCTGAGAGTCTCCAAACTGATGGGACTGACAAACCCATATTCGTTCCGATCCCATGGGGCCTCAGGTTCCCAGACGTATCGAGTGATTCCGAGGCCGTGGGCTCCACGCGGTCCTATTCGAGCGAATCATCCAGGGACAGTTTTGCTTATGACGACGACGACAACGTGCCCGTTACTGTGTTTGTCCAGCCTCCGTGGGTGCTTTCGGAGAAGGACTTGGAGATGTTTGTGGCGTGTCCAACGGTAGACTGCCTGAATTGCGACCTTCACAGCTGCTGACAATCAGCATTATAGATCCCTCGCGTCCGGGATGAGTACATGCACGAACCCATCTTCCGTTTCAACAGCCAACAGCGCCTCTGGGCGAAGGTATTGAATGAATTGCACGGGATCATGGGCTGCTTTGCTGATACTGATCTTATGACAGGTTTTCGACGAATGCTATCGCAGGAATTCGCGCTACTTTGTCATCACGAGCTATGAGGGATGGGTGTTCGGTTGCTTCTCTAAAGGCGAGTCGAGGAGCTCTCGGATTGGGCAATGCTTCTTACTTTGCCATGATATCAGGCTGGACGACCGGATATACTTCCCAAGTGTTCTCACGTCGGTCCATGGCACCTACTATCCTGGAGCTGCTCGCGTACTGGCTCAGTTCCGCGCTGGGAAAACCAGGTGGCTTCCAGATCCCAGAGGTCAGTGTCGAACGTCCACTCAAACACACCATGAGGCCCTGTGTCGTCCTGGACATGCTCTTCCCGATGCGCATACACTTGGCGGCAGATCGGGGAGCGTTACGGGCCTTGATGAACCTATAATACCATAATGAAGAACGCACTCTTACACGTCTCTCGCCCCTTATGTGTAGGTCCCAGAACCTGTTGAGTATCACCTCCCGGAGAACAAAGTCCTGATTCCTGTACCTGTTAGGTCGGGGTCAGTTGCCTCGTCGGCTTCTGAGTGGGATGACGGAACTGGTCGTAAGTGCCACCGCACTTCAACATCGTCAATGAGCTGACCCCGGACACTTCACAGGATGTGATTCTTTCAGCGAAAGCAACGGCAGCGATGACGATGCTGCAACTATTCGAGAAGATGATGGTGAAAATGCCACTATTTATGCAGCGAGCCAACCCGCCCTACCTTCGTTTATGCAAGCACGCCCTACGGGCCCTATTGCGCGCATCGCGCGCTGGCGCAAGAACACATGTCCGTCGTTTGGCGATGGCACAGACGGCACAGCCGACCGCCGTCTGGTCCAAACAGACTCGCAGCTGTCGTTCACCACGCAGTCTTCGGGGTCAGTAGTGTTGGACTATAGCCTCACCAACCGGCGTGAGGGCGCATGGCTGTCGTATGATCCGAGCAAGTCGAACAAGCAGTCGGAAACCGTATAAGATGACGTCTCGCGCAGGGTCGTTCTTGTATAATCTACCTATCTATGTTCTCCATTTAGTAGGGGTCGTCAGCCCAATTGACAACGCACCGCATCTAGAGTTACAAGTCAGCTTCTGGTCTTCCGTTGTTTTTAGGCTTTCACTGTCAATGCGAGCCATCCATCCATCCGATCCCAAATCGCTTTCTGTTCGCCTCTCCACTCCTCCCGTTTGTCTCTCACGCACTCTTCACATAGACCATGTGCGGCCCAGTCGAGTTCAATAATCGTCTGCAGCGTCTCGAGCGGGCGACATAACCCGCTGCTTTCCAGGGCTGGCTGGATCACGAGCGGCATCCACGTCTCTGCGAAGATGTCTGTACAGGCCATGTGGTGCGCAGTTGCGACCGTGAACAGGATGGGCGTGAAGTGCGCAACAAGCTCGTCGAGAAGAGCCTGACATCGCCGGGTGAGTGCCGGCGACAGATTGAAGCGGGGCTGGGAGGGTGTGCTGTCCACTGGTGCGTCGGGGACGGGGAGCATACCGTCTGGTTCGTCGTGGTCTAAATCGGCATGAGTGGCAAGCACATAGAATAGGGATTTCTTGATCTGTGGCAAAAGGTCAGACAGTGGGGACGAACGAGCGGCGGGAAGAGCATACCGAGTCTATGTCATATTCTACTGCGAGAGTCAGTGCCTCATCGGGCTGCTCCACACTGGCCTTGAGCAGTGCTTCGAGCTCGGAAGGGATTAATTTCCCCAATCTCCGACGCACAAGCTCGTGTATGGATGGAAAATCAAGTTGCTCTTTCGACGATGCACGCAGGACCGCCGCGAGGTGCGAAAAGGGTGCATCGGAGTCTATGGGGCTCGATACGAAGTGTTATGAGCTGCCACGCTCACATACAAAGAACAAGCAGGACGTGCTCACGTATCGTGATAGAGATGCGCAAGTAAGGCTTCAAAGTCGGCGCTCGAGACCCCTCGCTCGTCTGGGATGTAGACGAGGGGGCATCCATGCATTGAATCGCAATTCGCCTCTTGCGATGTGCTCAGTGCAGCAAGAACGGGAGAATGCCTATGCAGGAGGGTACGATGGATTTTGAAAGCGTGCCCTTGGGTACGGACAATGAGCGAGCCGTCACTCAGCCAATACCTGGGATGTGGCTGAATGATTTCATGAGCGGAATGCCTTGAATAACCGCCACCGTCGTCGAGTATGGCGCCCCCGTTCGTCAAGTTGAGGGTGCTCATGACAACGAAAGGAGCGTAAAAGCGAGGGAGGACTCTGCACCAGAAGGTGGTGAAGGACATAAAGATAAGGTCGATGATCGATGTGTTTCTCAGGCTCGACTTTAATTATCCCATGTTAAATGTATCAAATAAGGTCGAAATCAGAATGTTAGTTGTGACTCTACATGCGGATCAATATTACATCGGCAACGCCTCAATATCCACTATCAAATAATCCACGGAACCGCGAGAAAGAAAAAGAAACTGCGTAGCACATCGAGAGCGGATGGCGGACTTACAATAACGCTCGCTTTGACGGCACGGCAGCGCACCTATGATATAGCATATCGCGTCGAATCGCTGTTGCGAAACACCGAATTAGTCCGTGAACACCACTCATCAGCGAGAGCTACACGAACGGTCGTAACAAATCCCGCCGCAGCTGCCCAAGCCTTACAACTCCGCGGAACCACTGAATTCATATCTCAGAGCTCCCTGTAAGTGGACCTAGCGCGAGCACACAGCAAACAAACCTTCTCAAATTCTGCGATAACAGACATCAAGTGGCATAAGGAAAGAGACGACCGACCGTACACGAATATTTAGTAGACAAGTTATACTGAAACAACTAGAGAGAGGTTATCCCGTACCGGTTTTGTGGATCTACACACTTCCACCAATGGTGCGACATACGAATAGAGGGATGAATGAGCAACACAAGCAAAATGCAAAGTATGATGGACGGAGGGGACGGACTGGTGAGTCTCCTTGAATGAGCAACCCCAACGATGTACGATGCCCTCCCTACCACACTCCGATCGCTTCTGCAAGTGAATGAACACACAGGAGGAGTAGAAAAATTACGAAACAACCTGCTAGGCATTACAGATAGTCCTCAGCTCTTGCTCTCTTCTTGCCCCTGGATTCCTCCGAAATGGCTAAGGCCGTCTGACCATTCTCTCGTTTATCAGATAGGTATTCCTTGGGGAAGTAGTACTTGGAATCTGTCCCACGCCGTTCCTCCTGAAAATGAAGTCAGAATGCTGAATGGTGACACACCAAGGGGCAAAACTTACAGGAGAAAAGTTTGGATCGGACCACTTAAGCGATGTCGTCTTCTTGAAAGGCGGATTTGTTTGTGCGAGACTAGGATCAGGTAGTGTAAGCTCAGGAGCAATAGGCGGGGGTGCAGGCACAGCGGACGGAGTCGCCGAAGCTGCAGGCGCCGTTGTAGATGGCGTAGACACAAAAGGAGAGGAACCAGGCATGCCAGGAGGCGGGGACATCGAAGCAGAAGGAGGGACTGGGGGGATTGGCGACATGCCTGGTGGCACCATACCGGCTGGCGGAGGAGTAAAGCCCGGCGGAGGAGAAATACCAGGGGGGAGGAAGGGTGGCGGTGGGAAGGGTGGGCGTGCGCCAGGAGGGAAGGGAGGCATGCCGGGAGGCACACCAGGGGGTAAAAGACCTGGTGGAGGGGAGCCTGCGAAAGGAGGCGGCATTGGGAAGCCAGGAGGAGGCGCACTAATAAAGCGTGAATAAACGTTAAATCGGATCAACTTAATGCACTTACCCTGGATGAACTGGTGGCATGCCCGGAGGGAAGGGAAGCGTCCCTGGGAAACCAGGCATCGCGCCATGGATAAATGGAGGCGCACCTGGAGGCATAGGCATTCCAGGCGATGCAGAAGATGGTGGTACAAAGCCTGGCGCCGGTACTGGAGGCGCAGCATATGCCTGGGGAGGGGCGCCAAACACCGCCCCAGTAGCAGACTCGGGGTTGGCATGAGCGGCCGTGCCATCCGAAGCGCCCATAAGCGCCTTGTGAGCTTCTAGTTGTGCTTTGAGTTCGTCTTCGGTGAGGGGACGATTGTCAAGCTTGGGTCTTTTAGACTGCGGCTGGGTAATGGTTCCAGGATTGAGACCTAGCTCTATTTCCTTACGACGTTTGTAGTCTGCAACGTCAGGGGCAGGAATGCCCTCCATGCCGAAGATCTCAACTTCGTACCCATCACGACCAGGTAGTGCATTCTCAATGCGTGGAAGACTATAGAATCGTAAGGACCTAATCTCAGATAAGCGATAGCAAGCTCACTTTTCTGGCTCGAGCTTATGGACCTGTTGGATGTGAACGGCCAACCCTCCCGCTGTGTTCAGTCGTCGAGGACAAAGGTTACATTTGAAATGCTTGGCCTTCTGATGCTGCATTAGAACTGGGGAATACGTTAGATTGCGCTGACGAAGCCACTCGCACGACACTTACCCTTCTCATCTTCAAACTCCCGCTCACAGTACCAACACCAGGGCCGGATGATCTTTCAGAACACATAAGAAAATCTTACTACAAACTTATCAGAAAGTCTGTACCTGCTTATTCTTCTTTTTCGCCATTGTGCGTCGCGCTGAAGGACGGATGAAGATGGTGAGAGCAAAGTTCGCGTAGCGCCCCAATTTCCCGCAGTTGGGCGTTTCGGAGTTTGAATCGGACTGTGATTGTGGCGGGCTTGTGCACTCGACCCGTTCGTCTGTGGTCACACTGCAGCGAAGTCGGCTCCAAGGCACTGCCAGCCTATAAAGGTACACCAACCATGACACCTCCCGGTTTCCTCACTTGAACAAAATTTTACTCTCTTACCCCTTCAACGGGGCCATTCCGCTGTTCTCATGATTGGGAACTCTCTCCCGGAATACCTTTTCATCAGAATTTGTATTGCCTCTCTTCGCTTGGTCGCTCCTCTCAGCATTGTTTATACCATCGCTAGCTGGAATACGAGATCATTTCTAATTTCTCGCTGGATTGGTCTCTACGCGTTGTCGGAAGCCTCGTTTTACCTCTTCGTCTACTTGCCACGTTCTTGGAGACTGCAGAAGGTGAGTCGCCGCAGTATGTTTTTGTGGTCTGAAATACAAGTGCTTCAAGAACTTTGTATCAGACTTTCGACCAGAGGAGATTCCAGATCGTCGATCACCTGTTTGCGTTCATCGTGACTGGTGCAAATTCGCTTGAGTCGAACAAAAGCTTCATGAAGCACCGATCTAGTGCTCTGGACATGTGTCACCGTGGTCTAACGCCAGCTTGTAGTATGACTGCACATATCTGATTTCGCACTCATTTCTGGTGCGGTTTTCAGTATCTACAGCCAAAAGTATTGGCTTTTCATGCGTTCACAACGAATGTATTCCATTGCTTATAATCAAGCATGCTATCTTGTGCTCGATGGGTCTCTAATCCCACCTCCACTGGCTCCTTGAATGAGACCTAGCTCATCCACATCTTACAGACTGCAGTTCATCCACTGCCTTCTAGAGCCGATCGCGAGGCGCTCTTTGAGAAATGCTTTGTCTTCGCAGCAAGGACCAACATGGCAACTGGCTGGTTCTTCCATTCGGATTCTCAGTTCATTAAACGAGAGAACATGAAAGAGTGGCTCATGTGGGCTTTTTTCGGCTCAAATTATGGAGATCTCCGGCAGGAGTGGGTAGAAGAGCTAGAAGGATACCTGACTAGAGTTGAGGAATACCTGGGCTGCAAACTAGAGGATGGTTGGAGTGATACGGCCAAGTGCATGAGATCAACGTTGGACCCGGTCGTGACGGTCCATAGACCTTTGATCTGGTATACGGTGAGTATTGATATTTGGCGTCACGAGGTGAGTAAATGTCTCATGTACCATACAAGATTGTAGCACTGGTCGACACAATTACCTGCTCAACTTTGTTGTCGCACGGATTCAAGCATTACGACAACCAGAATCCTTTTGCATCTTTTCCGTGGAGATGGGTATCACTCATCTCACGAAAATCCTTGCATCCCGATATTGCGTATTGGTATCGACCGCATCGCTCCAAAACAAAGCAGCCCATTATTTTCCTTCATGGCATCGGTGTAAGTGCTCTGATTTTTCTCTTCGTCTAGTCTCCATTTTGATGACGACTAGATTGGTCTTTGGCCATACGTGCGTTTCTTCTTCGAGCTGCTCGTGGAGGATCCTGAAGTTGGAATTATCGCCGTGGAGAATCTTGCCGTCAGCATGCGGATATCTCAGCCGCCTCTACCTCGCGAAGTCATGCTCTCAGTCCTCTTGTCTATTCTGGATCATCACAACCTGCCTCGGATCGTACTAGCGGCACATTCATACGGAACTGTCCTCGCCGCCCACATCCTGCGTGATCCTATCTTTTCGAAGCGTGTCGTCTCCATGCTACTCGTGGATCCAATCCCTTTCCTCCTATACCTTCCTGGAGTTGCGCATAATTTCGTATATCGCCAACCCCGTAGAGCGAGCGAGTGGCAGCTTTGGTACTTCGCTAGCCGAGACCCTGATATTTCGCGAGCACTATCGAGGCACTTCTTCTGGGTCGAGAATGTACTCTGGAAGGAAGACCTGGATGGGCGAGAGAACGCTGTCGTCCTTTGCGGGAAGGATCAAATTGCTGATGCGGATGAAGTTCGACGTTACCTGACCGGTACGAATGGCAGCGAGTTCAGGTGGCGGAAGGATGGGCTGGAGGTATTGTACTATCCGCACTTAGACCACTCTAAAGAATTCGATACCTCGGAGTTGAGACGGCCAATGGTAGAAATATTGTCGCGATTTGTGCGGAGTAGCGGGACCAGGGAGAGTATACCCAATGGCTACACATAGACTCATATATACCGCTGTAGCATCGCGACATGCTTGAAACCTTCGTACTCTCGATTTTGTGAACTGGATATATATATGTGCTGACCAGCGATCATAGTTACACTAATATGCAATACACACAAACTTTCCCTCCCATTGTGTCCAGTCTGGAAGCAGACTCTCCACTAGAAAGTGTGCAACATCTTTCCTAGAAACCCTGTACGCCTGCTTCAGCATGCCCTCTTCCACTCGATACGGCGGTCTCTGGGCACTTTCAGCTTTGCTGGCCCCATCTGTAAGCAGTGCCGGGCGTATGACTGCGAAATGCTTTAGCTCGCCAGGATGTGGTAGACCCTCCTGCTTTTGCCAGTCCGCCGACAAAAATCCCTCGCGGGGCTCCTCATCCGTCCATGCCCTGCCTGCGCAGTGTGCGAGAACACGCTCTGTAGCTAACTTGTCCGCATGAGGGCCGTCTAGGAGATAGCCGTACATCGGCTTCAGGAGTATGGGGAGCGCAGCATGTGTAGAACGTGTCAGTCCATTAGACGTGACTACGACGAGACGTGGCTGTGCAGCAGGCTCGCGCAGGGACGCAGGCATGGTGGACAGGACAGTTAGGAGACATTTAGTGCAGAGATTCGGTGGGTTGATCACCGCCCCGCGAGTGAGGGAGAATGACGGCGTTCCTCCTGTCGTAAAGATCGTTAACAAGTCGATTTCCTGCAAGAGAAAATGCGCAGCGTACCGACTGTGAAGAGAACTAGATTGACGTGTCCGTCAGGGAAGGCACTTTGTGAGGCCTCCCACCCCTTCCGGACATCATCCGGATTGAGTGCATCACCCTTGACAAGCCGCGCAGTGCCTGCTTCGACAAACTTCTGAATCACCTTGTCTTCGTTGAAGACGGACAGTGAGCGCAGAAGGAAGGTCACGGTCGCTCCTTTCTCTACGACAGACGCTCAGCCTTGGATGTACGGACTAAGGAACAGTTGTAACTCACCAAGTAGCCTCACGGAAGCATAGTAGCCTATATTTCGGGACGCTCCAATCGCAAAGACGTTCATTGTAGGTTGAGTGAATTATAAGGAGACGTAGGGGATCACAAGCTGAGAGTATCTCTCAGCCATACTTTGCTCTTTTGAAGACTCCTGACTACTGCTTGCCAAGCCTCGGAGTCGCCTTCAACATCCGCTGCCGACGTCACAGCGGCCGCAGATGCGGTATATGATGCGGTATACTAGGCAGGCACGGAGGTCGCCAATGTCAAAACCTTGCGCTAAGTCTGCGCGACTGCGCGCGCAGTATGCAATTAAGGGGTTATGGGGAAGGGGTATAGCAGCCGAGCGCAGCCAGTGCTGTACTGAGTCAGATATTGTCAAAAAACGACCGAAAGTCCTTGCGGACCCAAGAATGATCCTCACGAACTCGGAAGATGACTGTTGATGCATTGATGAACCGCATATATGCATCATGCGCCCAAAATCCGGATGACGTGGCAAAAGCGCACGAATACTGTAGTCTGTAGCTCATCGGGCGTTGAATCATGAAACACGCAAAGACATAGCTGTCGAGTCCACACATTTAACTGGAAATCAGCGCTGACAATTCTGTCGCTCTATATTGACTCAAATCTCTGCAACCTCGCTCTGCCAATATCCCCTAGTGATGAGATTCCTTCGCGATTTGTGCAGCGTAGGGGTTACGGGGATCATTGCGATATCCCTCGGCTGTGAAAAGGTGGTCAGACCGATGCAAGATGTTGGTGAGAAAAGAACAAGAAATTACGAAAAGGTGACAAGAAAAGGCGAGTTCCAAAAGAGACGAACATGGACGACATAAATGAAGACGTACACTTGACACCCATATCCTGCGCCTTGGAGACAAGGTAGAAAGTGAGGCTACCGGCCGCAATGAAAGGCCACATCGGCTTGGCGACCTTTGTTCAACATAGTAGCCATAAGTCATGCATCCTCAAATACTGGCACAAGTAAAGCGAGGACATACGGGCGTCGGCCACTTGCGAAGACCCAGGAAACTCATTATGTTGTGTACGTGTGGAAACTAGTCAAGGAATGTATTGAGACAAAATAACCGTCTGGCGTACAACTGAGAAAACATACGTACGGGAGTGCGTGGCAAGCAGTTAGGATGGAGGAATCGTCACTGACCAGTGGGAAAAGTCGGGATGCGCTACGGGCGTCTTCTTGGGGTAACAGACTTACAAAAGAAGAGTAATGGGGGCTTTCTGAGTTTTAATGCAGATGCATTATTATGTAACGATATCTACAGCTCGCGTACATGAGTCCCGGGCCGAGTCTCTAGTCCTAATCAAAATGGCCAGCCTTTCGCGCGTACTGCAAAGTCTAGCAGTAACGGGTTGCAGCATTAGCTCAGTGCTATAATATCGGGATCATATTTCAAGATATCGCCGTCTTGCATTCCATTCTTTTCTGGTAATTAAGCTTCTGCGCATATGTCACACCGAAACGCGCTTTATTCGATCCACTCTGTGCATATGCATCACTCATATTGCTGCTGCTGCTTTCATTTTTTGATGCTCGTAGCCAATAACCACATCTTATGAGATGGGAATTCCAATTGCCTGGGAACAACATCTTCGCGGTTGTCGCTCATGGCGTTGATCATGATGCGTCTTCACTCACTCCACCAAATAACCTTGTATTAGCCTTTTTTTTTTGCGAGATAGTGCTCGAATGCACGAGGCTATAAAATCTCAGTACCAAATACAATTCATCTCCTCAAACTGTTACACCATCAAGCTTCGACGAGTTCATAGCAGCCTGGGCGACCATGCGCTAGACTCAGTGCACCAAGCGAAGGTCCGGTGGCAAGCAGTCCGAAAAGGGATCGATGTCCGCATCTTCTTGAATTCAGCCCTGGGGTTGTGATGTTTGAGTGGGCAGAGATTTTCGCTCAAGCTACTTACGACCGGGAGCGGGGAGTCTTTATTCGATCGCTAACGCATTACTTGACGCATACACGGACGGACGCAATGTCGCCTCTCGCGCTCACTGCGCTTCTCGGGGATATGACCCCCGCAAGTCTGTTCCGGGCACTTCAGGATGGGAGTCGTTTAGAAGCGACTATGATGCCAATCGCAAGGCGTCCGACCACCCGCATTCAGAGTTCCTACATGACTGATTCCCGGTCAGGGGCAGGGGCATCGTTTCCGGATGATTACCGACCAGATAGATTTGAGTCACGGACACTTTACATGTACCTTACAGTATGGAGGTTTTTTTTAGTTTGAATCCTCGCACCCTAATCGCATCCGTTCCAGAGCCCGCAGCGAGCGCTGAAGCCTCCCTCACGAACTTCCCGCAGGAACATGCCATGCTGATCGGTTAGAGCTTGGTGATCTGCAGAATTTCACGGGTGTCAATGAGCCCATGTGCTTGCGCACAATTCGGACATTCTGCTTTATGCCCGCCGAGGTACTTAAAAGCTGGGATATTCAATACCCACTGCTATGTCTCGTATCACTCATCGCTGGTTATGGCCATTGCACTCTGTGTGACATGGAAAACTTGCAGGTGCTGGGTTACTCGAAGACTCCGCTTAACGAGCTTTGCGCGCGCGTCCAAACGGTATAAGCTGAACAGATCATGATCCGGTCTGTCAGCGGAAATTAGCAGCGGTGAGACACAATAATGAAGAGAAAGGAGGCGCACCAAGCTCACTTTCTGCCTAGCTTGGCTGGTCCACCGTTCTAGCCATTCCCACACAACGCCCATTGCGTCCGAGGATCCTTACCACTTCGAGCGGCACCATCACATCTTTCAGTACAACACAAAAATCCGTCTCATGCCGCTTTAGCAGTGCCGCATCCAATGTAAGGAAATGCAACACTATAAGCTGGTACAGATGTAAGTGATCCGGGTCGTACCTGTGGAACGCGCCGACAACTTCGTCCAAGGGAGACGATGAGTCGGAGGAAGCGCCGCCCGACATCTCTCATCCAGGCCCGCAACACGTCTTTGTGCGTACCTTGGCGCTCCCAAAGCTCGGAATGAATGGATGAATTTTAGAAAGTACCAGACCGGCCAGCACGCATGTGAATGTCTTCGAGCTTGGTGTATTTAAATTATAGGAAGAATTTCCGCACATGCCATTGTCATTGTGCGCTCACCTAAGTACAGGCTACATGAATCAAGATGGTTCCCGGTTAAAACATCTTTGAGCCTTTTCAAGATGATTATTTCCGAGAGCCGCACCGTGATTATGGGGCCTATGTATCTCCTATTCAATCCGCAGCTTATGACCAAAACTGTCGGACATTGTGAGCCACGCCGCTCATCACATCCTTCCACACTCTCCCACTATCTCCACTTGCGTTTGTTCCGTCACTTCCTAAAACGTATGGTACACCGTGGTCACCGCTAGCACTTACCGCGGACACGACAGGGAGCTCGCCAAGTACGTCGATATCAAGACGTTTGGCGATCGCATGGAACGAGTCGGGGGATCCAAACAAGTTATGTGGCGTAGAGCAGGAAGGGCAGAGAAAATAAGCCTGATTGAGTAGTAGACCAGCAATCTAAATTGGAGGCATAAAAGGACTTATTCCTCACGTCTGAATAAATTGTATAGAGAACACTCACAGGAACAGATATTTTCTGAAACATCGCTACACCCTTTCGAACGTCTGTTAGGGCGACATCTTGCGGTGTAGACACAATGACGGCACCTGAAAGAAATAAAGACCCGAGATTGAGTGCTTATTCAAACGTCCGAGACATGACTATATACAGACCGTCAACATTGACAAGCTGACCCAACGTTAGAGGAACATCTCCTGTGCCAGGAGGCATATCAATTACTAAGACATCCAACCCAGCGTCACCATCTTGCTCTCTCCAATCGACATCAAACAGGAGCTGCTGTACAGCCTTTTGTACCATGAGCCCACGCCACACTACCGGCGTGTCTGCGCTCGATTCTGCACCTGGTGGGCGGGGGAGCAAGAAGCCCATAGACATACAGGGCAGGCCGTGATTCTTGAGCGGAACAATGGCACCCTCTGGATTAGGCTCAGCGCAAATCCAACCAAAGACAGGGGCGAAAGTGCAGACCTTTTGTGAGGTGCGGCTCCTCCGCGCTTTCGAGGCCCATGAGCTTCGGTATGGAAGGCCCAAAGATGTCCAAGTCCAATACGCCTACCCTCAAACGCGGGGATCCGGCTTTTTGACTCATCGCAAGAGAAAAGGCAAGGTTAACTAGAAAGTGGCCAGATTCGATCCCTTGTTCGTTCCCAGATTATGGCCGACGCACCTGCAACTGTGCTCTTTCCCACCCCGCCTTTTCCGCTCGCTACGGCTAGCACTTTCTTCACATGAGGTATAGACCTCTTCTGGATGGGGCCACCCCGACGCGGGATCTGCGGTGCTGGACCAGGGCGGTTCGGCAATCCCTTAACGGAGGCATTGGTAGCTGCGGTGATTGAGAGGTGGCAAACGACGCTATCCGCGTTTACTCACCAGCGGATTCTGGTGCCTTGCTGAAGTAGTGGTTGATATCCAGCGGCGTAGAGAGGCCATAGTATGTGCCTGCGTTGGCCTCAGACGGCCGAGTAGATCACGGTAGAGGCGTATACCTGGAGACCTTCCTCATTCGGAACGCAAAGAACGCAGATTAATTGAAGCATTTCGGAGCTCAAAATGTGTACGAGTCGCCCAATTGTAAGGCATCTTTCACTTGTGCGGCCGCGGTCGCGGCAGTGTTGCAGTCATCTCTAGCTCTACCGTCTGGTTACGTCTCTGAGCTCAGTGCATCCAGCTGTATATCCACACTGGGAACAAGATTTTGTGCTAGACTGTGGTGCCGCGATACCCTTATACTTCATCTCTGATTCTGTTTACCGCGAACACTTTCACCGTTTGCACCACTGATTCCTCCTAACGAACTGTGTCTCTGGGATTCTGAGTGTTCCGTCTCGCCCCTTCGTGTCAACATTTTAGCTACGCCCCTCCAAATTTCTCAGGATAATGTCCGCTCAACCGGTCTCTGCAACTTCGCAACAGACAGCGGGACTCTCCGCGCCTGCAGTTAGTCCATCAATACCCTATTGTTATGAACAAGCCAATGACTGATGTATAAGCCCGCGTCATGCCTTTCTGCAGTGGCGGCAATTTACGTTCTTCGACCTAGAACCCGTGAAGGATGTTCATGACTTGGGGAGCACGCCCGAAGTGCTTAGGGTGCGTTTGTGACTGTCTCAATGAATCATGACTGCTCATTGCATAAGATGATATGTAGAAAGCTCCTGAAATCTCCACAATTATCTCAAGCTCTCTCGGCGTGGTGGTTGCGGACATTCATGGCTCCGTCTACCTCCTCAGCCGCGAATTTGAAATCATAAAGAGCTGGCTGGCGCATGCGGGCGGGCGTGTCACGCACATGGCAGAAGGAAGAGGTGTGTTGGTCACACTGGGGGTATGTATGTTGCACACGTCGGTAGACTCGAATCTGAGTCAGGTTGCAGGAAGAGGATACTGCACGGCATCCCTTCCTCAAAGTGTGGGACCTCGAGCATTATGACAAGAAAACAGGCGCGCCGATATTGCTCAGATCAACGAAGGTGCAAAGCGGGAGCCGTCCGCATCCGGTGAGTCTTCAATATTGATCGGTCACGACAATGATTGTTCAATTTGTATGCGTTAGGTTTCGACAATCGCGCTATCAGAAACGCTTGTATATCTTGCTATAGGACTTGCTGATGGTACAGTACTGCTCTACCGTCACCTTGATCAATCTATTTTCTCCGGTTCGACGTCACTAAGCTCACTGCCCAAGGCAAGAGTTGTGCATGAATCACCAGGGGAGCCCATTACAGGCCTGGGATTTCGAGAGGCGAGCGAGGATAACCCGCATGTGTATTTGTTCATCGTGACCCTCAATCGAGTGCTTGCATATCAGGCATCAGGGCGAGGGAGCAGTATATCTGCCACGGTGGTGAGCGAGACCGGGTGCGCGCTGGGGTGTGCAGTGATGGATGGAGCTGGGAGAGACATTGTGGTGGCAAGAGACGAGGCGATATTCGTTTGCGGGACAGATAACAGGGGTTCGTCGTATGCATACGAAGGTATATTGAACTTTCCGAATTGTTCCATGCATAGATAACATGGCATACAGGTCCAAAGGCGACTGTTCACACGCATGTGAACTACATCGTGATAGTATCCCCTCCTTTAGCGGCGTCTGCTAGCGCAGCCTCCGGAACTGTGCGACACTACGCCAGAAACAATGATGTGTCTGGTGCAGAGGTTACAAAGGTGAACATATTTGATCCGGAGAATAAGTTTGTAGCATATGCAGGTACATTTGATTATGGCGTGCGGACTGTGTTCTCTGCGTATGGGCAGATATATGTGCTCGCATCGGATGGCTCGGTATGTCATCTCAATAAGTTCTGTTTAATGACACTAAAGTGGGCTAGCTGTCTTGCTTAGCAGAAAAGCCCACATCGGTCAAGCTGGACTTGTTGTATCGGAGAGGCCTATACCTTCCCGCCCTCAACATGGCAAAGACTCAGCATCTCGATGCTGCTACTGTTGCGGATATACATCGCCAGTACGCAGATAATCTGTATGGGAAAGCCGACTACGACAACGCAACCCAGCAGTACATTGCCACCATTGGACATCTACAGCCAAGTTATGTCATTCGCAAGGTGAACACATAGATACTATCTGACACCTTCGCGTGCTCATTTGATGTCCCAGCTCCTTGACGCACAGCGCATACATAATCTAGTGAATTATCTGCAAGAGTTGCACACTCAAGGCCATGCTAACGCGGATCACACGACTCTGCTTCTCAACACATACACCAAGCTCAAGGATGTCTCACGTCTTGATGCGTTCATCCGCCGCGAATCATCACGAGCTACGGATGAGTTACCTTTTGATCTTGATACTGCTATCCGCGTCTGTCGTCAAGCTGGCTACTTTGAGCATGCGACCTATTTAGCCAAGAAATACGAACGGCATGAAGATTACCTGCGGATACAAATTGAAGACGCTGGAAATTATCGCGATGCCCTCGTATATCTGCGGAGATTGGGAACTGAAGCAGTATGTATTCGCATCCCATGATCCTCATTACATCTTTCTAATACGGTGATATTCCAGGCAGAGACCAACCTTGCGCGGTATGGTCGTGCTATGCTCTCAAGCCTTCCGGATGAGACAACCCAGCTCCTGATTGATATATGTACAAGCCTCGCTCCGCTCACCTTTGATGACGATAGCCGGGACGATGACAAGGATGGACAGACGACACCCACACGTCAGGCTAGCACCGGCGCTGGGCAGTCCTATCTATCCTACCTGGCCCTTAATCGCGCTTCCACTCCCGCGCCTGCCCCTGTTATATCAGAATCCGCATCAATGGCCACGTCGAGCGCCACTGTGCGACCTGCGGCCCCGTCTCGCCATGCGTCTATCCATGAGTCTTCAAGAACATCCACGCCGCCGCCATCGACCGCGAACGGGGCGACTTCAACAGCGCTTTCTGCGAAACCACGCATCAACGCCGTGAAGCGGCCCTCGCCGCGACTTTTCTTCGCACACTTTGTCGACCACCGTGAATGTCTTGTGCGGTTCCTGGAGGCCGTCGCGCTGAAGAGATGGGGACAAAGTGTTGATGGAGGAGTGACGGCCGAAGTGGAGCGAGATCCAGACGCAGACGACATGGCGGAACAGTACGACCAGATCGCGGTGTGGAATACGCTCTTGGAACTCTACCTAACCCCGACCACTTCAGCTGTGAACGGGATCGTGTCAGAGAACGATACGAAGGCAATCACGAGTGCGAACGAGAAGGCCCTTAAACTCCTGCAGAGCGTCGACCTGCCGTATGACGCGACGCACGCGCTGGTGCTTTGCTCGACGCGTGCATTCACTCCGGGGCTCGTGCTTCTCTGGGAGCGCCAAGGTATGCATGAAGATGTGCTGCGGTTTTGGATGGATCGATGGCGGGACGATGCTTCTTCCGTTTCATCCTCATCGCAGTCTCCCTCGGACGAAGTCATTAGCGCGTTGCATAAGTACGGCCCCGATCATCCACACCTGTACCAGCTTGTGTTGCGCTTCCTTACATCGGATGCGGCGCTGCTCAAGCGGCATGAGGCGGATTTGCAGGGTGTACTGAAAGAGGTGGAAGAGAGAGGAGTGATGGCGCCGCTTGAAGTGGTCAGAATCCTCGGACGCAATGGCGTCGTGGGCGTGGGCGTAGTTCGAGAATGGCTGGAACGGCGGATCAGCCAAGCTAGGCAAGACGTGAACTTGGTGCGTCTCTTTCGCCGTATTTCAGTATCTCGCCGCCGCTGATGGCCGTTGTTCTGGCTAGGATCGTGACCTGATCAGCTCGTACCGCTCGGAGACGAGCACAAAGCTACGCCAAGTGGAAGAGCTGAGTGATGCAGCGCATCCGCGGGTGTTCCATGTCACGCAGTGCGCATCCTGCCAGGGCCAGCTCGATCTCCCAAGCGTGCATTTCATGTGTGGTCATAGCTATCACCAACGGTAAGTGATGAGGCGTTATCTGACGTGGCTGTGGGTGCTGAAAAATGTCCTTTCTTTAGGTGCCTTGGGGAGCATGAAACAGAGTGCCCGAACTGTGCACGGGCACATGGGCTTATACGTGAAATCCGACAGAACAACGAGCGTCTGGCTGATCAGCACGACGTATTCCTGCAAGAAGTCCGCGAGAGAGGCTTCTCGGCGCTCGCTGCGGGTTTTGGAAGGGGTGCGATGAACCTGTCGAGGCTTGAGGAAGGTGTTGCATAATTTGAGATGACTTGGACCTGGTAATGTGATTTTATTCTAGGCAGTGCTCCGAGCATCATATCGCGGAAAACGAGCCTGCATACGAAGGTCGCCAGCTGGAGTGTCAAGGTGCGCGCACCGACGACGTGAGTTTCACAGTGTTTGCTGTCCTAGTGCTTGTCCCGTCCTCAGGTCTGTTGTGAACTGCCTGGGTATGGGAGAGCACCTGTGCTAGGCATAATTTGCATGACATATTTCTGCTTGATTTTCAACGAGCTGAAGGACATAGATATGTGCACCGGCGTGTACTCCGACTCAGAGGTTGCATCTACTCGGGAAAACTTTATTACAGGTCCTGCCGTTCCTTCTCTATTGTCTTTCGCCGGCAACATTGTAGGATCAATGTACTAACTAAGTGCATTTGGTAGCTGCCGTTGTATAGTAGAACCTGACCATTTGCATGTATGTGCTGATATATGTATGCTCTGAGATTATCCGTGTCATTGCGTCCGCCTCGCCTCAGAGGTTTGAGTTTGGGCTTCAGACAAGCCGCTTATTCTCCGCAAACCCGACGTCCTCTCCTGTCACTCCAGCCGCCCCAGCCAGGACAGAATCCTTCATTTGCTTGCTCCGAAGCTGGTCGTCCCTCGTGAGTGCGTCATCGTGGACGGTGCGAGTGTCCAGCTCGCGACGGAGACGACCAATGCCTGAACAGGATAGAAGTTAGTACGCAGGTTGCGTGCACCCACGTTGAATTTAAACGTACCCTTGTCTAGGGGTGCTTTTATATGCGTCAACAATGCTAATTAATGGAAGAGTATTGGAGGATGGCATACCATGTCCTGCGGTCGCATCTCTGCGCATTTCCTCTTGGGGAGGAATGAGGTGACTCGAGTCATTTGTAGAATTTGGCTCGTGCTGAGGGGGAATCTCGTGGTCCACGGGTAAACGTCCCTTCCAGCTAGTCTCTGTCGATACCTTCTCCTGAGGTGGTACGAGGTGGTTCATATCGAATAGAAGGTGTCTGAAGAATGAATTGATGAAAGTCGAAGGTGAGGGGATTGTTGACCGTAAATCTGCTTTATATAAGTTCACGAGACACTACTTGTATATGACATCATCCCCATTTCACCTGGCACCGAGCACCACTTGCTGTCGGCAGCATCATCAACCATGTTGCTCAAGCCACCAACACACCACTTTCCATTTGAGGAGCCTGATCGATTGATGGCTTATCACGTGAAATGCGCGCTCACGTGCGCGGCCAGAACATAGCTTACCCGCCGCCTTTGTTTGTGGGCTATTCACGGCAAATTCATAGGGCATTCAGGTCGCGCGATCGCAATGGCCAACATATCTCTCCGCCGAAGTTCTCGTCTAATGTCCGCTATTCCAACTTTAACTGAAAATGCGAAAAGCGTTGCAATTGCCGTGAACATAGTCTCGAAGGAGACGCAAAGCAATACTCGGCCAACTAAGCGCACGCGTGGACCGGCTTCTCAATCACAAGGGGCAATTCCTCAGGTAGATGAGCAAGACTTTTCGAAACCTGAAGAGGTGAAGAGGAAACCTAGGAAGCGGAACAGGGAGCCACCTCTAGAACCTACACTCTCCGACTTTGCCACGAGGGTCGTCAGCGCGTGGAAGGTCGGCCCCCATGTCTCTTCGGCTGGAGGAGTAGAAAATGCGGTGGCAAACGCTGCGGCTGTTGGGTGAGCTCATTTTATGTCATCCCCATGTACTTAGCATGTAACGATAACATAGCGCAAATGCGTTTGCTATTTTTCTCAAATCGCAACGCAAATGGACGTCGACTCCGCTCACAGAGCATTCTGTCGCTACGTTCAAAGCCCGTATGAAAGCATTTGGATACTCTGCAAAACATGTCCTTCCTCACGGGAGCTACCTCGTTAATCTAGGAAATCCTGACGAGTAAGCGCCATCCCCTTCTGTGTGCATATACTCAAACACCACCTAATAGGGCGAAACGCGAAAAATCATACCAGTGTTTTTTGGACGACCTCAAGCGATGCGAGCAGCTCGATCTTGAGCTCTATAATTTCCAGTGAATCCCATCTTTGTCTCAGACGTATGCAAGTGGAAACATTTCCTGTCTGCTAGCCCTGGATCGACTGTCGGTCAAGCTACAGTGAAAGAATCGCTGGGCTTTATCGCTGAATGCATTAATCGAGCCCATAAAGAAACCGAGCGCGTGGTCATTGTTTTGGAGAACATGGTTAGTTTACTCGATCACTCATTTGCTTTCCTCCTAAGAACAAGCGGTATGAAGGCAGGATCAGGAAACGTAATCGGATCAGAGTTTTCAGAGCTAGGGAGAATCATTGATCAAGTGGATGACAAGAGCAGAGTTGGAGTTTGCTTGGATACTTGTGAGTATTTGTAACACATGACACGGCGCGTTTTCGCTTACATCTGATTTTCATAGGCCATATGTTTGCCGCGGTGAGCTCCGATCTCGAACGAGCGCTGAAACTACTGCGACGGTCCTGTTCTGAGTTCAATTTCTCTAGGGATATGATATCAGGACACAAGAAGGCTGGGAGTATGCACAAATTGTGACTCAGATACACAATTAGCTCATGGTGTCTTACTTCTCGTAGATCAACAAGTAAGTTCGGACTTAAACAAACAATGTTTGGAATCACTAATTTGGTCCAAATTGATTCATAGTGGCCGAATTTGAACGTGACGTTGGACTCCAATACCTCCGAGGTATGCATCTAAATGACAGTAAAGGTGCCCTCGGAAGCAAGAAAGACAGGCATGAGAATATTGGCATGTGCGTTCCTCGTTTCACATGTTCAGATTCATTCGGGGGCCCTGATAATGTATCGCAGTGGCGAGCTCGGCCTAGCGACCTTCTCGCATGTGCTATCCGATTCCCGAACGAAAGATCTGCCCTTGATCCTCGAAACACCTGCCTTTGACACGCCTGGTGCAAGTGGAGGACTTGGTGCTACGGGCGGCATGGACGTGTGGAAGACAGAAGTGGACGTCCTCAATCGGATCGCGATGTCATCTGAGCGTACCAATTTCGAAGTTTGGAAACAGGAGGTTGGAGCGATTGTGAAAAAGGCAAGCTCTGCGAAAGACATGAAGGGGAAGAAGAAAGTAGACAGGGCGAAAGGTGGAAAACAGAAGAAGAAAACGAAGGGAGACGAGGATGACGGAAAGGAAGAATATGGAAGCTGCGCCGAAGATCATGAGGATGCATAAGGATGAGAATCGCGAGTACGTAAGTGAGCGTGTTTGGTCTTCCACCTTTTCAGTCCGTCATGTGCGCTGTCTTTTTAACGGAATAGTGTAGGTTCGCTCAATCACTGTACATAATTCCGATCAATTGAGTACGTCCCAGAAATAATGTATGTTTCCTACCTTGATTCACAGCAATTGGGAAGCCTGAACCACTGGCTTTCCCAATGCGATGGTGTTGATTTATTGATTTATGGCGTCGTTCATGCAGATCCGTAAACAAGACTTCGACACAACAATGGAGGTGAATTGCTATACGTGAAATCTGAAAGTGCAACTGCGACATATACAGAGCTGCCAAATAATCTCTCCTATCTGAAAACGCTTCGCGATTTAAGGCAATAATAGCAGGCAGAAATGTAAGGCTACTTAGACCTCCGCTGGGCCAGACTTGACTACTTCCACTAGCGACATATCATCACATTCTTAGACCCCTTCCAGTCACATTCTTATTTGCACAAGCGAGGGTTGGTCTCCCGGATTCTCTCGAGCGCATGTTTCGAAAATCTTGTCGAATGGGGGCAAAACGGGCCAGTGGTCGTACGGAGTGTGGGGGTTGCTCCCACAACAGAAGAGCTGCAGCATTGTCACAGGGGTATACACATCCGTAGTCACGCTAAATGCAGCTTTGAGTGGGTCCTCTGGGTACATGGCAAGAAGCTCAAATGCCTTGCAAACTTGCGGTGCAAAGTGTCGCTTGGTGTTGGATCGCTGTGGAGATAGTTGCGCGGTAGTATATCGTGGTGAGTGTGCCCAAGCGAGTGAAGGTAAGTGAGACCGTCCACGATGCCGAGCACCCACTTACGGATGACAACGACGGATCTGTTGATTTACGACGTGTAGAGCAGATTGTGCTCGTATTTCGAGAAGATAGGCTGGCCGTTGGGTGGATCCGCCCAATGAGCTGCGCGACATGGGGAGAACTACGGCACAGCCGGAGAATTTCAATCTCCTTCCGGGACCGTGCGGGCTTGTAAAAAAACGGACGCCCTCGTTGACAGACAAGAGGTAGGTCGGAAAAGACGTCTTTTGCATCCCCCTCGAAGCAAAAAGGTTGCTCACCCCCTTCGGGGGGATAGGTTTGAACTCAATCTCGCGATATAGTTTTCATCGATCCAGAGGCGACAACCATATTTGGGTAGATCTTTCTTAAATTATAGGATGTCAGCGGCAAGAGTGTCCATTTAATCGACGTGACAGGCGCAGAAGATCTCGTGTCCGTACCAAACCTCAGCACCACCAAAGGAAGAGAATATGGAGCTCAGGACCTTGCCTTCGCTATTGTCAGTCCAGAGTCGATACACGAGACATGCCTCCACGAGCACCGTCTTTAGGCGCACCACAGTTGCAAAGAACGCGTCATTGTCCCCAAGCGTGGCGGGTAGCCATACAGCGGTGTTGGTGGCTTGGATTTATGAAAGTAGTGAGTGTACTTACCTGATCGGTTTTTCATCCTTGACGAAGCTACCATTTCAGAGCGCTGCTTGCGGAAAGGGAAATATGACCGGTGGGAGTGGAAGTTAGTATGTCACCCTCTTGGAGAAGTGGACGCAATCGAAAGGCTCTGATACTGGCTGATGATATCGACGTGAGAAATACACTGCTCAAGAGAGAATGGTGCGGGAAATAATCGTGCTGTGTGACTCAAGTTCAGAACTCACAAACTGTCTTCCCCTTGTTATCTGGTGCATCTCAAAAATGTGATTCCCAGGAGTTATGCATTACGGCTCTGAATCAGATGGACCCACAAACTTTCATCAGATTGAGTCTATCAAATGTCTGATGTTGATCAATAAGGTATATTAGAAGTAATCGATGGCTCGCTGGCTTTCATGCCTTGTATCTCAACGACAAAGGATTCAAGTACACACCGAAGAGACTCAACATACAAGAACAAGACGTGAAATAACATATATAGGGACACTCTGCCCTTCGCTATGAGGCTCGCGTACTTGATTCAGATCAGCGGGCCGTGGCATGCGAATCGGTTACACCTTCCTCATCGTGACGGGAGCGTTTTCCCTGACGGTGTGTTTCTTGCAGTAGTTCCCAGAATATTTGGTGTTTCCTGGCTGTAAGTGTGTGCGTCTGACATTTGTGTTGCGGCGCACGGCGCACATCTTGAATTCACCATCCTCAAGACAGCCACATCTATATTTGATATGATCTTGCTTGCACACTGTGGCAATCGTATGGATTAACAGAAACAGGTAGAGCAGAAAGATGCAAACTAGTGTCTTTGAACAAAGGCTCCGGAGAGGACGTCATAGTAGAGTAGGATCTGGTGCTCATAGACGCCATGGTGCCTCATTTTATAGCATAAACGGCATCCCAATAGGTTAAAGAGCGAGTGTGAATCTCAGCCAGATACTGTTGGCGGATTAGGATGTGCCACAAATCCAAATACCCTCTTATATCGAACGCTGATGCAGTTCACTGCGTACAGCACGAGCTCGCTTGCTATTACAAGGTCTCTCTCTCTGGGATGGACAAAAATGTACTGATGGATGAGAAGATAAGCATGGTTTCCGGAGGCGCTAAAGCGCTCGAACACTCATAGTTGAATTTGGTTCCGTAAGTCATTGTGGCACCCAACACGACAGTCATTCAGGCTTCAGGCTTCAAGCTTCAAGCCTCGCACTGTGAGTCATCCTCCTTGCGATATGCTACTATTCTCCTTCAGAAGACACGTTTAACTGATGATACATTCTGCCTCGCGGGGAGACTGTACAGAACTTACCTGAGGCTGTAAGGGCGATTTTTCAAGTCTAGTGATGAGCAACGCCACACTGGCAGGCTCTGGCGACATAGAGGACACCAGCTCAGTAAGGCACCTACTACATCCGTACTGATGGAGCTGGTGTGCGCACTCAGTGGGGAATGCTTTCCATGGAAGTGGACTCGAAGAACGAAGAGGACATCGCATCCGAATGGGCAGCCGAGTCAGATATATCCTCGTAGATGCTGGCACGTACGACTTGGACACTATGGTGTTCCTGCCTGCATTTTATGCAGCACTTCCGCCGTTGCCTCCCACAGATTGGACGCAAGTCTACGTCTCTCTTCAGGATGGTGCTCCATTAGCACATCCAATTTTCCACACCTTCCCCTCAATCCCGACGTGCTGGCATCCGAAAAGGATCGACTTATTATCACCAGAGATTGTTAAATCTGTATCTCTCAGAGTGCAGCTAGTGAGGTGGCAGTCTCGCCTCGCTATCATCAAGTTTGCTAGGTTCGAGTTCGAAATCTCGTTGGCTCATTCCGAGACGGTTATATATCAGGAAATCGATGGAGAGGGGATTGGACCTGCTTTCCTCGGGCATTTGACAGAGAACGATAGAGTCATAGGTTTTTTAATGGAGTATATCGAAGGGAGGTTCGCAGGCATAGACGACCTGGCTGCGTGCCAGACCATCGTTCGCCGTCCCCATGCGCTGGAAATCGTTCACGGGGACCTCAACAGATACAATTTCGTCATCAAGCCCGATGGCTCCGCCATATTAATCGACTTCGAGTATTCAAGCTTTGATGAAACAAAAGAGGAAATGGAAAAAGAATTAGGGGGATTGGCCGACAAATTGGCGAGTGAGACTGGGTCTGGAGACCCGATACCTAGACCAATGGTTGCAGAAGAAGAATGATCAGTGACTGTGCCAGTATTGTTGTGGCGACACGTGAAAAATCCACATGTATTCCATGAATACGATGCGCATCAGATATTTCTTTTTGAAAGTGGTATCGTCCGCCTCTGATGATAGCAATCCTTTCAAAAAATCAACTGCGCGTAAATCGATGCTGCAGCCACGTATTGGCATAATGTTCACAAGCGAAGAAATTTAACTCGGCTCAACGCGCAAGTCATGGGGACCATCCAGTTGATTCGTCCCTGTATTATTGAATGGGAGAAGTCAGAATGTGAATAGGATGTATGCGAATAAACTGGCTCTCTTTGAAACCCATACGTTTTACGGAGAAGTCCTGGTCTGGGTATTCCCATCAGTGAGAGAGCAGAGGACCCTTCTTTCGACATTTACAGCCAACGCAGCTTCTAGTCCTAGTTCATCAATGTGAACTTTACGACGAAGGGGTGGCTCATGACAGACCATGGAGTACACACCATGTCATAGCTGCCATCCTACAATTACAGGAACATTTCGGCCTTGTCTTCAGACTCGTCCAGGACACCGAGGTCCGAGACAGCGCATCTGTACACGCCACATTCTGCTTTCACTCATGTTCCTAGGGCTATATATTTATAAAGAATAAATATGTGTAACAACTCGAAGAGGAGAGAACTTACAAACTTCACAGATATTATATCCAGGCGTAGGAATGATGCTGATGTCAGTGCCACTAGTTAGTTTTCTGATACCCAGAGACTTGAATAAAGCACCACGACTCGTTTTCAGGACGACTATAGTGCATCAACGAAGAATTATTCCTTTTTTCGCGAGGATATCGAGTACCGTTCCGTATCAAAGACAAGGAGGTGAATGATTGTGGCAAGCTGCGAGCGCCTATCTAGCGACCAACGCTTGAGCCTTGCCCAACCCGCCCCTGCTTGATTGGAGGAACTTGAATCTTAGAGCGCCCTTTCGTCCACGAGTATAGCCCTACACAACCCGCTATACAAATAGTCTTAGCAAGTATTTCGGAAAACTATCGTCTTTCGGCTGTAACACGGACAGCGTTAAATACCTCATTCTGATTGGCAAGCACATCGAATAAATAAACTAGTATACGATTACATAGACGAGCACATTAATGATGAACCAGGCGTTCGGATCATTCATCTCCATTGCAGTGAGTCATGATGAATCATGCTCTCGCAAGTCCGTGTAAGTCTAAAAAAGGGAAATAAATGAGTTCAGCGAGAAATCGAATACGAAATGAACTTACGAGGATAGCGCCCGTAGGCATAGTCACATAACATTCCCGCCCAGATGAGTAGCCCAAGCGTGCCATTTTCCTTGGGATAGTGGCAGATAGTTTGAGATAGCACCAGGAGCCAAGGAAGCCACCCACCTGAAATTTCCGCCAATAATCGGGGCTGTTATCAGGATCGAGCGTCATCACCTGCCAAAAGAGGTGGAGGGCAGTGGACCCTACGCTTCCAATAAAGTAGATGGGGCCTTGTCCATTCAATGCACCAGCATATGTAAGACATGCAACGAAGCAAATTGAAAAACAGCCAAGGATTGGACGAATATTCCCGCCGAATGGGATGGCCGTGCTTCCAACGCCAACCTTTGTATCGTCGCGTCGATCCATGCACCCATGGATAGTATCATAATAGATGGTCCAGCTAATTGAACGTGGTGGAGTGGTCCAAGAGTAACATATGTCATCCGGAAGGCACAAACCAGACGCCTCCAATGAATAAAACGAGGACAATTGTCTAATCCATGTAACTGACGTTAGAGACCCAGCATACAGGAAGACCCCATGTCAATGCTATCCCTATGATGCTGATAAGTAAAATAGCTGAATATAGCTTCAATCGAATACAGACCGAGCCAAGCCTGGGATTAATTCGTCCAACGTTTCATGAGAGGGTAGAGTGTATCAACGATCAACAGTCCAAACATCCCTATTTTCATCCTACGTCACATTCGTTCCGCTTCCTATATTTACTAAGCTGCTACTCACGCTGAATTGCCGACAAATTGCAGATCGAGCAGGCAGGGCAAGAGATGACCGAACCAGAATACACAGGCGCCCGTGACCGACACCTGCCCAGATGCAATAGGTCGTCCTTGCGTGCGAGCTGATAGAGCAATGACTGAATATGAGAAGAAAGTGCAGGAAGGGGATATACATACCAATCTGCTTGCCGAAATCATGATGACAGATATCGTTCCAAATACAACCAATGTTATGCCTCAGGACAGTGCCGATAAAGTAGGCCAGTCTTTGAACTGCCAGGGAACCCAACGGGAGACTAATGGCACTCGCGCTCATAGTAATGCCCCACGCTGGTCGAATGAACCGTCTACATTCAGTGATACCTGGAAATAAAGAGGCGCGACAAGGACGTCGCTGCCTGCAGGGAAGTTGTATGGCCTGACCAATAGAAAGTATGACCACCAAAGAGGGGTACTGCGTTTGATAGAATCCTTCTCCTCGATTTGAAGTCAGTGAGGATTAGAAGAAATTGTATTATCCATGGGAACTTTCCGCTCCCGCGATTGTACAGGCGAATGGTAGTCTTTATCCATTGCGATTTTTCCCTGGCTTTTCCTAGATGAAGACGGTATCAAAGAACGACCCGGTTCTTTCCAATGGTGCGCTAAGTAATCGTTCGCGCGCACGCAACGTAGCCTGCCAACAGCGACTGTCCGTCACCGTAAGTACGAAGTGTAGGATACAGTAAATGGAAAGACGTACATGGTGCTTCAGGGTACTTCATCCTGAAGCATTGAGGTGAATATATATAAATCTCATGCCCGGATAGTGAATGCCATTCCGTGGACATTAATATCGCAAAACGCGCTGTAAAGTGTGACGGCATCTCTGCCGAAATGCTGTACTGGCGTACTGACTTTTGTGTTACTAAAATGCACAACCTAGATGAGGGCGTTGAGGGGTCCGACCCCCCTTTTAAGTTGAAGTAGATGAAAACCGCCATGGAGTCATCTTCAACGTCCTGATTACGATCGTACAGATGCGTCGTGTCGGTCGCGAACGCGACGTTAAACGCATTTCTTACGCCCCTCTATGCCTGATGTTCCTCCGCTCACAGCCGAACTCTTTATTCTAACGTTATAGATGCTTATACAACCTCTTGAAATCCAGGAAGTGGACCTATGGCCTCTAGCATCGCATGCTACTCATACATCTCCTACTTGAAGGTGAGCTTAAACACCGGGAGATGCTTCTGTGCGGCACCACCGCTATAACGTCAACACTGATCGTTTCAGTCTCCCACTAACTTCGGAATAGGTGAGTGCTGAACAATAATCGCAACCGCGCAAGACGAATGCAAGTGTCTCGCTGCGGTTCGCAATACATGGAGTTATGCTCCAAGGTTTGTTTTGTCCTGAGCTAAGATATAATTCGGGTATTTTCAACTGCATCGCATAATTACGAAGCGTCACGCTTCAAGTTACACTACTTGAGTGGCAAATGATTGTAATAAAAAAATATAGGCTCAGGATGCAGCACCTAAACGAATGTTTAGTTATGGACAAAACCTAGGGAATAGCTGATACTTTCGATAATCCGTGGCCGAATTCTAAAGTAATTAGCTGCGGTTTGATCGTGTGCCGCAAGCAGGGCACAGCCAAGTTTGGCGCAGCGCCTTTTCCCACGACCGGCATACACTACAAACAAAATCACGAGAAAAGAAAGCGGGATGGTTGGACAAGAGACGGGGGTTGCGTGGACGAAGTAGGATAATATGGCGAGATCCTCGAGAATATGAGTGGCTATCCCTAGCCCCAAGTGCGCTCTCCGAGTGTATTGGTCTACATACCTAGCGGGAAAAGAGTGTGCGTTCTCCTATCCTCTTGACAGCCAGATATAATCTATGGATTGGATCCTTTAAGTCTTCTGCCTGAACTCGGGGGGTCAGCCGTTTACTGGGGCATCACTAATCGGCTCTGAGCCAAGTAGAGGTGACCGGAGCGCGGCGAGGACACTGGAATCTACTGCGCGCGATGGATGACTAGTAGCACAGCAGAGGAGCGAGGACATGAGGATTGGAAACTGGGCCAGCGCTAGCGCCCTATAAGTAATACCACAGTGGGCCGAGGCTAAGGGCGTTGGAGTAGCGCTACTAGTGTGGTCCTCCTATCTACCAGTAACATCCTTCTGATGCATAGCCATCACCTATCATTGTGAAGGCGGTGGTTCTCATACACGATCCGGTGTTTACTTGGATGAAGAAACAGACTTGGGAGCCTTCCAGGAAGTTTTAGAGGCCCATACTCGTTGCGCTCGAACGAGTCGATTTGAACCCTCCAGACTAGAACTATGCTGTGCTGGCGGTAAGTCAGCCTGCGAACGTTGTTAGTACAAGGCGCCTGCCGGGTCAGATATGTATAAAAATTCCGCTTTCATGTATAGAAAGCTGTCGAATATCTGATACCACCCAAAAAGAGGTGCGAGACGTTTAAAAGAGCGGGAATCTAAACCATGTATAAGCCCTGAGTAGCAAGTGCTTACCTCTATCCCTCTATCATATCATAGACTCCCCAGTCAGGACATTGTTATCGGTCATAGTGCGCAATGGCGGGTGGACTCCCTCCGGTGCTTGCTGACGGCCTCTACACGATCACTAATTACGCCTTTGCAACCCGAGCGGCCATACCTAGCGGGGATCACGAAGAACTGCCCGCAATCAAGGGCGTGATAGCAAATAAAGCAGTTGGCCCCTCCGATGTGGTATGATTTTAGCGCATGCAATTACTCAAGTTGGAGATTTATGTACTACACCTTTCCGTAACTGCAGTGGCACATCGAAAATGTGGGGCTCCACGATAACTATACAGTCCAGGACTCGCGATATCGGTTTTACACGCAAGTGAAACGACTATGCAATCGTGCTGAAGAGCCTGTCATTGGAGGAAGCTTCAAAGTGTGCTGGATTTTAGAGAGGATAGGCTCTTTTGGACCAACTGCTTTCATGTATGGAATGTTCCAATTACTGCAGACTTGTGGTGACTATTCATGTTACAGAATCAAGCTCCCTGACTATGAGCTAGGCTGGGCTTTGTATTATAGAGATCACGACACACCGGTAATGATTTTTCGAGTATCTGCCTGCTACAAGACTCGTAATTGGTGATTTAGGTCCAGCTCATGAGAATCGATGTGACCAATATTAGTCGTCAGGCTGTGTGGAAGGTATTTAGTAAAGCTTCGAGGATAACGTCAACTAAAGCACACACTTTTAGTTTGAGAGAATTCCTGACAAAGACGATACAGGCGCATGGAAATGTAGTTGCGAAAAGCAAGCCAAGAAGCTGGAGCACAAATGTAATCACAGGCGGCGACGAAACATGCCACGAAAACAAAGGATGTGGTACAAGAAGCGACAGCGCAAGAATAAACGACGGCGCGAGAAGATTGAGCGACAATGTAATTGCAAAGCGCTGTACGAAATGAAGTACGAGGTGGCACGAGAGAAATTCGATATGAGACTTCAGGAGACACAAAAAAAATGCGAGAAGCTCGAAATGGAACGTGACGAAATCATGAAAATGTACTTGGAAGAACAAAGCAAGCGCAAAGAAGAACGGAGTAGGCGAAAAGAAGAAGCACGGAAGCGAAAGGAGGACAAAAAGAAGCAACAAGAGGAAGTGGAGAGGGGATGGAATTATGAGCAGGAGCTCGAAAGGATGAAAGCTGAACGCGAAGAAGAAAGAAGGAGATATGAGCTCTCTGAAGCAAAGCTCCGCGAGGTACGCGAATTCCGTACAAGATGCAAAGCTCAGCTAGAGACGATGAAAAACTTACATATCATTCATGAACAGCGGCTCAAAGAGGAAGGCGAAATGCGTGCAATGTTCGCAAAAGAAGTCGAAGATCTGCAGAAGAAACGCAAGGAAGAAAATGAAGCACACGAAGTTGAGCTCAAGTTGGAGAGGACAAAACGGAAGGATGAATGGGATAAGCACGACGCGGAAATCGAGCGAGAGCGGGAAAAGCGGAGGAAAGCAATGGAGCAGCACGACGCAGAAATTGAGAGAGAACGGGAAAAACGGGGGGAAATAAGAAGGGAGATGGAACGTCGGTTCGAGGAATGCAGAACGAATCTCGAGAAGACTACACGCAGATGCAAGGAGAATGAAGAATTTGTCAAGAACAACTCGGGGATAATGGACAACAAGAGACTCGAATACGAGAGAAAACTCGAGAAGGTGGAACGCAACTGCATGAAGGAGGAGGAGAAGCTTGAAGAGACGTGCTACGAATTTATGAACGAACACGCGTACGCCATGATGAGAACGAGACATCCTATCCCGGAGCGTAGGCATTCTTCATCACTGATCACACCTAGTAATGTCACGCAAGTAATAGCCAGGCCGCACGGTGGGCGGGCAGGACAGTAGTAAGAAGTACTCATCTATGAAGTTTTGTATTTTGATAAAAACAAGCGTCATTTCTCAACCACGAAAAGTGCAGAAGGACACGAGGGACAAAATAACGACGAGTTGGATGGAATCCGATTAGCGCTCAAGTGGTGCAGTAAAGATATTATGCTGCGGCCACTGTCGCGCTGAAAAACAACGCAATCCGTCGGGGTGGCAAAGAAGGTGACGATGTCCTAGAAAGTGAAGCTGATGCTATATGCATCAAGTTCAGAGGCTGGGACAGTGGGAATTGAAATATTGACCCCTGGGCAGATCTCCGATGCCCGTGTCCCGAGAACAATTACCAACCCAAACCCTACATAGCTACCATATGTATACTACAGATCTTATGGTGCGATTGAGGTCAAATGAGGCTAGCAGTTTTTCCGAAGCCCGACAAGATTTCAGGGTACCATAGATGACTGCAATACCACTAGGTGACTGACACAATAAGCTGAGTGTGAGGCCGCACGGTGGGCGGGCGAGACAGTAGCCTTCATCTCTGGGGCCCTGTGCGTCAACAGAAATAAGTGTCGTTCTCCAGCTGCGAAGAGTATAGAAGGACAGGCGGAACAGAGTGAAACGTCAGGTGAGAGCTATCCAGCAATCAATCGAGTGGCGCAGTATAAATGCTATGCTGTAGTCACAAGTGTCAGTACCCTGAAGGATTAAGCAGAGTCCGAATCAGTCAAATAGAGTGCCACCGTCCACTATAATCGCCTGGCCAGTAATGAATTTAGAGTCCGGGCCAGCCAGGAATGACACAAGAGACGCAACGTCATCGGGGGTGCCGATCCTGCCTAACGGAATGGCTTCCGCACGCTGCAGGCGCGACGACTTAGCGATAACGCGCATATAAGCGAGAGGTGTACAGACATACTTTCTTGATGTACGCGCCCCTCTCCTTCCCTTCCTCTTTCGTGTACTTCTCATCCACCTTATCCACTGTTTGGTAGCAGAACACACCCATTAGCCAGTTGCAACGCGCAAACACCCCACTGGAACACTCACAAAATTCGGTGTGGATTGCGCCCGGCGCATAGCAGTTCACGTTGATCCCATACGGCGCAAGCTCAATCGCCGCGCTCTGCGACAGCCCGCGCACGGCAAACTTGCTCGCGCAGTACGCGGCCGAGTTGGGGTCGCCGCGCTTGCCCGCAATCGAGCATGCACCGATGAGCCGCCCGCCGCGGCCCTGCCCGATCATCGCGCGCGCGGCGTACTTGTAGCAGAGCATCACGCCGTGTACATTTATGGCGAACGTCTGCTCCCAGGCGCTGAGCCGTGCTGGTGCGCGGCAAGGGAAGAGGGGGGTCAGCACCGAAGCACGGGCTCAATGCCGACACTCACATTCTACCAGGGGCTCGAGAATGGCGATGCCTGCGTTGGCGACCATCTAGGAAGCGTATGACCGCAAGTTACAGACTGGGGACATAACGACTAACCACATCCAGGCTACCCATCTCGTCTAGAACGCGATTGACCATGGCGCGCACATCGTCCTCCTTCGCGACGTCCGCGTGCAGCGCAACACACCTGCGGCCGGAGTGTATCTTCACGATGCGTGCCGTCTCTCTCAGGCGGTCCGCATTCGTGGCGATATCGCTGATCGCGACGTCGAGGCCGTCCTGTGCGAGGCGGAGCGCGATGGCGCGCCCGATACCCTGGCCTGCGCCTGTAACGAGAGCGACGCGCGCTGGTTCGTGGTAGCTGGGAATATCGTTTGCGAGCAAGTTGACGTCCCGGCCGCGCGGGTAGCCATTAGGAACGGTGAGGATGCTCGGGTTGTCTTCGTCGTGCATGAGGCTCGAATCGTTGGTGAGGACACAGGGGTTTTCGCTGAACGTAAGGGGCGGCGGGTGGGGAGCCTTTATAGCCAGCCGATGACAGGAGAGCAGTGCGGGCGAGGGACATTTGGCAAATGAGAGTCGAGGCTACTAGCGCGACAACAACACTTGCTCGCCCGAGAGACTTTGGGGACTTGACGTCATCTGCCCACTGCCCGACGCGCGACAAGTACGAGCCCCGTCCCGTCCTTTCATTCCCGACATTCACACTCGGCGTATCAACACCGCGTGCACCAGGTCACGGCGTTGCAGCCCGCAGCTTGAGTTGAGATATAGCACCTATCTCCACGCTATTCCTCCATCTCCACCCCTTCGTAAAGCAGTTAGTCGCTTGGAGTAGTCTCACATGCCACTTTTTATGCTGTCGAACGCGGAGCTTTGCGCAGGACACAGACATCGCCTCCTCGACCACGAGACTGCCCGTCCCGTGCTCTGTGCTCCATCATGTACAGGTGGCCTCGATCGATCATGAAATAGACCAAGCGCGTGTGCGCCATTGTTGCCCCACCTTCCATTGCGCTCAGCGTCTGCATTCAATTAAACCACACCTCAACATGCATACACGCACCAAATATATGATATACCAGTAGAACTCTGTCCACTCAGTCAACGCTCAAGATGGCACCCACTCAGCCTAGTCCTCCAGCCACATTTCCAGCTCAATCTCTTCTGGACTCACCAGCCCGGCAGCGTATGCCTGCAGAACATCATTTCAGTACTGATGTGACTAAGACATGAGCGAGCACAATTACGCACATCAAGCTCGGCAGGGTCCATCTCCATATCATCCCTCGCTTCTGCGGGAGCGGCGGCAGCTTGTCTTTCCACAGGTACAATTCTTTCCGTTCCACACAGATGGGACGTCTTCCCAGCATGAACCGTGATATTTTGAGAGGCTGGGGTTGACATCGCAGCAGCATATGCCTACAGAACATTGGGTCAAAAGAACTGGGCGAAGATATCGAAGCGCACCTCGAGTTCTGCAGCATCCATAACGGTGTCTGCTTCCGCGCCGTATACGGTGTGGCTATCCGCCTCAGCCCTGTCTTCGCCTGCTGGGCGTGCTGTCGCTGTGACAGAACACGATTGAGAGGATGCTTTATACATGTCTGTATCGGCCCTGGAGTGCGCGCGGGTCGACACAGGAGCGGGCCGTTGCTCTGCCTTCACAATCGCCGTCGTGTTCTGAGAGACGGGAATAGCAGGATATTCGACGATTGCAGTCGTCTTTGTCTGTGCGTCTGCAGACGGCCGCCTAGCCACCTTTGCCGTTCTGCGGGGAACCTTATCCGCATACACTGCCTCCTCTGCCGTCACCCTCGCTTTCCCCTTTCCCTTCCCGCTAGTCTTCGCGGCCTTCGACCCAGTCGTCTCGATCTGGATATCGCCCAAGCCTAGCCTGAGTAGCTCCCAGTCCCGCTCTGGCTCCTCAGATTTCGTTGCGCCCACATTCGCGAGATAATCCGCGCCCTCATTTCCTTCCTCCCCCGAGTGCCCGCGGACGTACTGCAGGGACACCTGCATTCAGCCGCCCGGTTAATATATGCTATGATAGGCCGAGTCAAGCACGCACTTTCTGCCCTGCCAGCCCTCGCTGATCGAGAAGAGTGGAGAGGTACCGGATAAGCAATTCGTTTTTCACAACCCCTCCGGACGACGATCTGAAGCCGGTGGCGAGCCATTTTGGCAACCACGACCTGATGCCTGCAAACCCGTGTTACGAAAACATGTAGAGGAGACGAAAACATTACGGACAATTTATGCAGTACTGTGAGTCGGTCTTGATCAGGAGCGGCTGCTTATCACGCGGGGCGGTCTCGAGCACGCGGATGATGGCCTGCACAATCAATGCTCAGCCGCGCAGGTCATACGAGTAGATCTACCCAACTCACAATCAGCTCTGCACGATTATTGGTCTGCATGCCAGGACACCGCTCCGCGAGATTCCTATCATAGTCTTAGCACAGCCGCGCATTTAAACGGGTAGACAGGCGCACCGCGGGTCGTCTCGGCCCCACCACACGCCCACCCCCGCGATCGAGCCTGCCTTCCCATTACCCTTGCACGCCCCGTCCGAGTACACGATCGCCCATCCTGTCTCATCTTCTAGTACCTCTTCTGCTGGATTCTTCTTGCGACTGGTAGTTCGCATCGAGGGCGATGCCTCTGACGCGCGGGGGTGCGACTTTGCGGCCTGTGGGGGCGCATTGGATGGCGCAGGGGCAGAGGATATACCCGACGGATCAGAAGCCGAGCCGTAGGATGCTACCCAGACCTCTGCATCTGCGGCGTTATTGAATTTCTTGTATCGCGCACCGGGAAAACCGGTCACTTGAAGTTCGCAATCGTCCCTGATAGGTCGCGGATGAGTATATGCGGCATAAAAAAGATTAATCTATGAAGCCGAAGGAAGAGCGCACCAAGTAGAGTAGACACCAGGCGTGCGGCCCCTTGCAACCGCATAGAATGCGATTTTGCTGCCCCCCTTTGGCATGACCGCGTCGATGGACAAATCCACAAAGATGAGACTCGTGCTTGAGGAACTGCTACTTGAGCAAGGTCGTTGTTTCCATGTGGGAGGAGGGAGGTGAACACGAGGAGAGAGACGCAGCAATGGCGCGAGTTGGAGAGGAAGTCTGCACGCCAACGCTGTGGGAGAAAAGGCGACGATGTCTACGATAGGACAACGTTGAGTATGATCAGAGACTACGTGGTAGACTCAATTTCTAGAAGCAGATGAAGCAAGGGCACCTCAGGGTATCCTACTGACTGAGCATCGTGTTGTCCGAATTGGATCACGGTCGCTCGACCATAACACGTATGTCACGTGCGCAAGCGGATGCGATCACGCGTTGCAGCGTCGAGCGCGTTTGAGTACAAAATGCGATTGAGCCATCCAAAATCAAATTCGTCTACCAGTAGCACCATTACGAGCAGGCAGTTCAGTTTCTAACGCATACAGAGCCTAAAGCATCGCATAGTCATTGTCTCCGAATATCGTGTCAATGTTTATGAGCTCATTCTTTCACTCCAATCGCCTTCAAGACCTGGCTGCGATTGTAATTGAGTGAGATTTGTCTAATGTGACAAACTTGTTGTTGAATGGGAGCATCGCAGAGCCTAGGATCAGTGTTACATTCGGCTGTGCTACCGGTACAGCAGAGTCAAGACTTACCGGTGCCCGAGCCTCGGAAAATATCGGGAAGCGCTGGGCCGCGGCGGCAGAGCCCCTTATTCGGAAGGAGCTGTGATCGAGGTTTCCCGATGTGCCGGAACGGCCCGTCGAAGCTCAAAAACCATCCCCTTAACTTGGAAAGCGGCCCGAGCTTTGCTCGAGGGCCTATGCGTGCTTCATGAAAAATGAGTCATACTATCCGGTTCTCCGACGGACACTCCATGTTGCGAGGCAGTCCGGGAAAGGACAAGCCGAGAGCATGTGATGTGTGGCTGAACGTCAGCCACACAACGTTACGCATATTTTCATACGAAGTAAATCCTTTCGTATATATTCTAGACATTACGAGTCTAGAATAAAATAATTATTCTCGCTCTTTGCTCTTGACCATCACCCGTATCAACACTCCAAACGCCAACTACTCACATATGCTAGAAGGTAAACGATATGCAAAACCAAGACATCCCCAGCTCTTTGACGATTTTCCTTGTATTTGCGTACCCTTGACCATTCCGCCATCGATGAGATAGCCTCCGAGGAAACGCGGCTAAGTGGGACTTTCCTGAGGAACATACCGTACGTTATCATGGTGAGCCCGAAAATCGTCGCATGTGGACGGAAGCGAAGAGTCACTTACGGCTTCAACGAAGACCGGAACCCGGGAATAGTGGGGGATTGGTGGGAAAAACATCAATTGAGCTGGTGATATTGGCTTGGCAATGATGCATTGTATGTGGTCGCGCGCTGCTGCTACTTAGAAGTTGGCGGTATGTGGTTACAACGCAAGGGGGTATGCACTTTGAATAATAGCTTCGTTGAATGAGCTGAAATCTGTTCGAGTTTTGAGATGACAGTCTCATTGAATCCATCCAAGTTGGCGGCACAAGACTTAAGACGTCATATTCGATGCTATCTAGATGCAAGAAATCTCCAGATTTGAATTCCGGGGGAAATTTGTAGCGCGATTTTCGCATCGTGCGCCATTTGTACGCTTTATTCTAGATATGTCGCGATATATCCAGGCTTTTATGCGAAGGGTTGATTACCAGTGGGCATTAATAAGAATCTGATCAACGGTACGACGGAGAGATACAGTCAGTCGTAGCGTCATACTCCTCTCAAGGATGAGCCGCAATGATGTGCATGGAGATTCGGCCGTAATCCATGATGGAGTGGAACTCACGGAGGGGGTCGTCGGGCAGACTCGCGAGTCGCAGGCCAGGGACCCCGCAGACGTTCACCCCGATTCCAAGGATTACGACTTCTTTGTTAAGGAGTTCAGTGCTGATGTTACAGCATCTCGATTGATCGAGGCATGGAGGACCCAAGCCCCGGCATATCCCCCACCCGCGTTCATCGCGGACACACAGATGGCCGACTATCTCGTTCTCGAGCAAGCCAGCCCTACAGACGGGAGTCAATCACGAACAGTATCACCCCTCAGGTCGTTCGGGAGTGAGGGGTACGATTCGGGGTGACTACCGCCCCGCATTACCATTTCTTTACAACTCTGCATGTACCCTATGGTATGGAGTATAAACCCTGGAATAAAAAAAAAAAAAAAAAAAGAGTCGCAGGCCAGTCGGGCTGAGAACGCGTTCTCGTTCTCACCATTTTCGTTTATTCTTGCTCAGTACAAAAATCTGAGTGCGAAAGCGAAGAACATGTTCTATCCTACTTTTGAAGCGGAGTTCTAAAGCAAAAAAGGCTGGGTACGAGCCTAGCCATCGGGGGCGAATTAGCGCACACCAACTACGATTACCGGATATGGCATATCGACCGGCTTCGGTGTAGCCGGGTACACTGCGAAATCGCGAAGTTGTCCCTACCTTCTACCTCTACCCTACTTACCCCGATGCTAAAGTGCAGTTGCAAGCTCTGTGCACATACTGATCAGCTACAGAACATGCAAGACAGACAAGCTCTCGATCGGCGACACCATAACACCGGATGAGTACGAGGAAAAGGCGCATAGCACCAACGTCAATTCCGTCGGTCGAAAGGTACGAAACCTGCCATTTGATCTTCGGATTTTTTCTCCATGACCGGTTATGGCCAACGAACGTCCCCGCTCCCCTCCTACGCCACTGGTATATAAACTGTGGCTCTCGCCGCCAGGTCAGTTATCCACTTCTCCCCTCTTATCCACCATCCGCCACCTCCCCTCTTATAAAAATCACACTCTCCTCCTTCTGTTAAACGCATCATAATGACTTCCACCACACCACCCAGCGAGACTGCAACCATCGTCCCAGACGAGTCCGCATATCGAGCGGGCGGGCCACTCGACCATCCTCTCTCTCATGACCCACACAATCCCGACCTCAGCTTTCCGTTCACCACCACCAATGTCAGCCAGGGCGGATTCACCAATGAATACCGCACCGTCTCAAAGACGGGCGTCGTGCCCGCGGACTTGGCCCTCCAGCCCATCCCGACGCGCCTCCCAGAAACTCCTGCAGCGCTCCGGGACCCTGAAAAGGCAGCGACGCTCAAGGACGTGCAATTGGTCACTTGGCTCCCAAATGACCCGGAGGACCCACGGAACTGGTCAAATATGTATCGTTGGTGTAAGTACTCGCGCTAGCTTGAGTTGTATTGGAATAGCTCTGATCGTGATGCAGATCTTACGGGCGTATGCGCCATCTCCGTCGTCGCAGTCGCATTCGCCAGTGCCATCGTGACGGGTGACTTTGGCGATATTCAGGACGACTTTCAAGTTGGCGAGGTCGTCGTCGCACTCAGTGTATCCCTCATGGTTTGTGGTTTCGGTATCGGCCCTTTGGCATGGTCGCCCTTGGTGAGTACCGATCGTGTCCTTCCCAGGTTCGGATCTCTCACAGGTTGAACAGAGCGAACTTGTTGGCCGGAGACCTGTCTGGGTGTTTCCGGGCATTATTTACGTCAGTAAGTATCCACAGCAGCCTGCTTGCATACTCGGGATAACTGACGATGCAATTTGCAGTATTCAATATTCCTTGTGCTGTCGCACCTAACATCCAGACTCTCCTCATCTGTCGTTTCTTCTGCGGCATCTTCGCTTCCGCACCCTTGACTCTCGCCGGCGGCACGATCTCCGATCTGTGGGACAACAACGAGCGTGGATTCGCGATCGCCCTCTTCGCCGCTGCACCATACGGTGGCCCCGTCCTCGGCCCTATTGTGGGCGGATTTGTGGGTGAGACGATCGGCTGGCGCTGGATGATCTGGGTGAACATGATCTTCGCTGGTGTCGTCTGGCTGTTTTGCTGCACCATTCCAGAGACGTTTGCGCCCACGATATTGAAGAAGCGCGCTGCGCGCATGCGGAAGGAGACGGGCAATGTCAACATCACCACCGAGCAGGAGCTCTTCAAAGCGTCAATGAGCCAGATCCTCATCGAGACGCTTGTTCGTCCATTCCGTACGTTGGACCCCCGCGTCTCGTCCCCTGCCTGCATCTGACTCTCTGCACAGAAATGTTGGTTACGGAACCGATTCTGCTCCTAATGTCGAGCTACATTGCGCTCATTTACGGTCTTCTTGTGAGTCAGAGTTGCGCTCCACACAAGTTGTGGTTTCTCCCCTCTGACGACATTCCCTCTAGTACGCGTTCTTCTTCAGTTACCCCGTCGTCTTCTTGGAGGAATACCACTTCAACGATGGATTCTTCGGCCTGACGTTCTGCTCGGTCCTTATCGGCCTCGCACTCGCCCTCTGCGTGACACCCCAGATCGAGAAGAACTACCAAAGGCGCGCTGCAGCCAAGGGTGGGCGCGCAGATCCCGAGGATCGCCTGGTTGGCATGATGATCGGTTGCTGGTTTGTACCCATCTCGATGTTCGTCTTCGGCTGGACGAGCCCTCCGACCGTCATGCCCGGGGGTGGTAACTGGGTTGGGCCCGTTTCGTCTGGTATTCCGTTTGGCTTTGGCAGTGAGTGTCCATCTTCATGAGGAAGAGTCGATGTCTGACGATTTGATTGGACAGTGGTCATAATCTACTTCTCTGCAAACGCGTATATCATCGACGCGTTCCCGGGATACGTTGCGTCGGCGCTGGCTGCCAAGACGGTGATACGGTCGGGCTCGGGGGCTGCGATGCCGCTGTTCATCGAGGCGATGTACCACAATCTTGGGAACGGCTGGGCGGCGTCGACGTGGGCATTTATCTCGCTTGCGATGGTGAGTTCTGCCCACGCACCCGCTCCGTAGACACGGAACTCACCTTTTGCCTACGCAGATCCCCATCCCGTTCTTGTTCTACAAATACGGCAAGTCGATCCGCGCCCGCTCAAAACGTGCCGTTGCTTAGATGCAGCGCGTACTTCCTCCTCCATCTTATTGCTTACGCCATACATATCACGTTCTTTCATGAATATCCACGAACGTACTACCCATACGATCCCCCCTCGTACTCTTATCCTTGTCATATTCATCGCAATTTACACAGATTGAACTTTAATAGAGGTGTTTTTGTACATAGAGTAGAACTAATGTATTATACTGCGCTTTCATATATCATTTTCAATCCAGTACAAAGACTCAGGAAACATGGAGCCGTTAGGCGTCAGTGCAAACATCTATAACGGCATAAACATAAAAAAACTCGAAAGTGTAATCCTTTTTTTTCATTAGGATCTGTAGATATATCGGTATGCTGAAGCAGACGGAAGATCTGCATGATCTCAAAACGAGTAATCTTGTAATGGTTCAGCTCCTCAAATGGTACTCAGTACTTGACCCACCACATGGCGTCGCGAGTTCATGACACTCAGTCGATGACAGTGCGCGCATGCACAACAATAGGCGCATTAAATCTGAACGTACGAATAAGTCGCATCCTGCTTCCAGCTCGTTCGGTTGGATCGGTGTAATTGCAAGGCTGAACCGATAGAATCACGAAATGTTAGACTGGAATCAAGACAGACTAGAGCCTGTTGAGTACGAAACCTACTGGTGATTCTGAGTGTCCAGGGCTATCTATCACTACAAAATATTACCTCGACAACAGTATTTTGTGTAGCCCTGTGTTGCCTCATTAGTGACTCGAAAGAGGACCTACTTCAAATTCAATCTAGTCTAGATGAGCTGGCTGGCCTGCGGAAGGGCGGCCTACGGAACTCATGATTAGGCTAGAGGATGCAGCGCATTGTATCCATGAGATCAAGGGTTAGATCCTTTTTTTTTGCGCATGGTCATCATGCAAAGGCCTCTTTAATGGCCGAGCTTTTGTGTGTCGGCATTTGAGTTTTTCTGCGTTTTCAGCATACTCCGCCCACGGACTGAGCGTTCAAGCGCTCAGCGCTCAGCCACTGCGATCAATTCCTTACATAATCCATCTCTGTTTGGCAACTATAGTCTTTATTGTCCTCGACAGGGTTGCTACGCCGCTGACAACAATAACGAAGAACAAGTCCGGGCACAATGAGGCTGCGGATATAATACTGGTATATATGACACTTTCCGGGGCCACACTTCCTCATTAACCTCTTGGCCAGGTTTCCTTTCCTTCCTTCAGAGTCTCACTCAACGACCTCAACGGGTGCTGGGACACCGTTCATTTTCATTCATTCTACATACGAGCCGTGCCTCTACGTCCTGGTATTCAGTTGAACGACTGCCCACTGGCATCGCGATCTTTACGAGTCAAATCTCCGTTAACCCATTTTCTCTCAACATGCTGCCTCTCCGTGCATGTGAGTGGTCGTTCTATAGTCTAGTAGTCCTCCCGGCTGACTCCGCAATTCACCCATGCAGATATCTTCATTGGGCTCAACGCCGTGCGCGCCATTAGCATCATAGCCTTACTGCTTGTCTTCGCGAGCAGCATTTTTGACATCACAAAGGACATCAAAGCATTCAACGAATTCCAGTCGCAGGCAAACAGTACAAGTCTTCAGAATTGTCAATATATACCGTGCGTAGCGGACTATAATCACAGTGTTGCACCTTGTGCTAACGCCGCCTCACCTCCAGGAACAGCGACGTTCCCAACCAACCAGCTGGAATATTCTGGGCAGTCATCAACCGCATTCTCATCATCTTCGAGGTCATCGTCCTCATTCTGGCCGAAGTTGGCTGGCCAGCTGTTTTCTTTGAACACTTTTTCCCTGTCCTCGGACACGCCTTTGGCCTCGGTCCCCTAGGCATCTTCCAGTGCTTGATTGGAGCAACCATCCTTTCTCACTACGTTGACGATTTCACCCTCGTCGCCGCATTCTTCTTGTTCTCTCTTGGCTGTCTCAACATGTTCCTCGGCCTGATCTTCCGCGAGAAGGCAAAGACGCGTCGCCTCGTCCTCTCGTGGCGCGCACAGGCAAAGGGGATCCTACCCACCACCGTGCAGGATGTCCATGCGACTCTCCGTCCCGCATCCGATTTTGTCCCCAGTATCCTCAAGAATGGCAATGAAAAGGTGCCAGGTCCGGATGAGTTTGGGAGGAAGAAGGCAGGATTTGGGTTTGGGAGGCAGGGGGAGAAGGCTGCGGGTCTGAAAGGCACGTCCGCCTGTTCTTCGTTGTACAGTTGCTTTTCGCTAACTATGCCCGTCCAGGCTTCTTGATCTCCAAGCCCTTGGAAACTCTTCCCCGCTATGCACCTTCGACGCGGCCAGAAAGCCAAACCGATTCACGCTCGAGCACGCCCGAACCCATGTTCAAGTCCAGCGCCACAGCCATCTGAGCATGAAACAAGAAGACCAATAAACGACTAGATGCTCTCTACTCAACTATCGCTCGGACCATTACCATACCCCACGAACATACTAATTTGTTGTCATCATACCATAGTCCGTGCATTTGTAGCTTTAGTTATCACGACGAGGCTTGTATCATATACCACTTACTCGGGAGTAATTGCGATTCACTTATAACCACTTTATGTGGCATAATGGTTGACAGTGATGAGATGAAGAGTGATTTCAGTGGTACTTTCGTAGTGCCGAAATATAATTAGGACTTCGCCTTGCAAGTCGTTACAACAGTTTTACGAAACTTACCGCATTTTTGCAATATTGTACTTCGGCGCCGGTGATCGTAATAGCATATGTGCTCGAATATTCATCAAGCGCCAGCATTCCTCAAATTACTTGCAGTCAAGAAAACAGTCAAGGGGATGGTACGTAGGAATCACATCAATCCGATAAATCCATATCGGCTTCATCGCTATCGCTAACGAGACAAAGTCTAGCATGGGGTCCTGGGGAAGTTGGGGAAGGGACGTGCGGAGGGGGTAGAGGCGGAGGAGGTATTGAGGGAGGCGGCAGAGGTGGTGGTGTCGCGGCAGGTGGCGGTGGCGGTGGGAGATCCAGTGAGGGGAGAGCACCATCATTCAGTGCATGGAATGAGCTTGCAATGGACGAATTCTGGGCATGCTGACGATGGACATCAGAAGACTGAGAGATGATGCGGTTCCATAAAGCCTCGCGATCGGCGTCGAATGTGGAGCTGACAATGCCCGAGTCGGACGATGGACCGGCATCTAGGGCGGGTAAGCTACGTCCATTGTAGACCGGAAGCAAAGAGGACAGGAAGTATGTGCCTGGATAGTTAGCCCAGCGGCGCACCGTTGCCTCCTTGGAAGAAGCACGAGTGTACGAAGAGGACGACTGCGTCTCGGAAGCATCGACCTCTTGGTCCGTAGCAACGGCCGGAGTAGGTGGGGAGGCGGACGACGAAAGCACAAGACGTTCCTCCAGTCCATCATCGCCAGAAACCAAGAACAAGTCACAATCTTCGTCGTCGTCGAGTCCGTCCCCGTCCTCGATTTCACCTGAAATCTTCTGCCAAACACGTTCACAAGGATCCTCGCTGCCTACCCACCCGTTCGGATATCCCCAGTATGTCATGTTGCGCAACCACTCTACACTCTCTCCCGAATCGCCGTCGCACAAGGATAATGCTTCACGTAGTCTCTCCCCTCTGATTTTTCCGGGCTCGAACTCCTCCAGCCACGCTAGGCGCTGACGCTTCCATTCTTCGACTTCGTGTATGCGACGAAATCCACAACTAGAATCATCCTTGAAGAATGTGAAGAGTTGTCGAGACAGAGATATAAGGGCATGATTCCGAGGTTCAGGACAAGATGAAAAGGCATGATCAGACGAGCCACAGTTGAAGCATCGCCTGGGAGCGAGATCCCCAGACTCCACACTATGCTCCTCCAGACCGAGGACAGACTCACAAGAATACTCGTAATAGTGGATATCTTGAAATGAAAGATGCGCTGGGTCGGCGGAGAAGGGCTTGGTATCCACAAAGTAAAATGATGCGGAGTGCTCATTCACGATTTGCTCTGCCCCTGGTCCTCTTTCGTCCACGGATTCTTCTCCCAAGTGTCCAGGGCCTCGGTCACCGTCTGTGCATCCCAACGGCCTTTCGCGACTTCCTTGCCTTCCACATGAAGGGCCGGAATCCAGTAGACATACTTCCGCTTCCACCTTTCCTGCCCCTTGTCCTGGATGTTGATCGTCTCGAGCTCGAATGCGCGCTGCCGCTTCACTTTGGCCAGCTCCGCCTTCGCTGTCTGCATGCATAGTCGCTGTGAGCGAGTGATTGTGAGCAATCAGAATGCCCTTCTTACGTCGCAAAGTGAACAGTGAGGTCCAGAGTACAGTGTCAGTCGCGCTATCCGACCAACGCGTGCTGCCATTAAAATGCTTTGGTCAATGGTGGGTGTATCCAACGCGGAAGACCATGTGGTCGTCAGTTGAAAACGTGAGCGGCAGTAGCAGCTCATGTGCTCACCTCTAAATCAGTTCTTCGCGAACAATGCCTCCGTTCTCTAGCTTCTACCCACTCCCAAACGCTTTGAGGGGAATACTCAGTACGTTGCTAGTTTTTCGCTGACCGAGGTGGACGTGCACACTCACGAAGAAAATGAAAACAGCTGAGGATGCTGGCGCTTCGAGCTTGCTGCAGAGACGCCGGACTCCGGTCACTGCGATACAGGTTGAGTCACGAATTGTATCCTCCACTCAGTCAAAAGTTTACAACTACTTAATTGCATACAAGGTTGTGCAATAAAGAATTGCATAAGTCACTACATTTATCGAAACGTAAACTCATGACATCTTCACTCGCATTTCGCGTGTCGGAAGGTATCGAGCATACAAGTCATCCTCCGTATGTACTTGCAGTCACAAACCGTGTCTCTGATGTCTTGAATTGATGAACAGGCCGCCAGAATCCCCCAGGCATACAAATGGGCCCAGGCTTATATTCCAACATCCGACCAACCCTTGCTGGATATGTCCCAGGGCGTCCCAGGTGTTCCTCCGCCAAAAAGCGTACTTGATGCCCTTTCCCGCACATCTTCCGACCCAACCACATGCGGATATGTTCCCAATGCGGGAGAGCTTTCTCTAAGGAAAGCTATTGCGGACGAGATGAAATTTCGATATGGTGACGATGCGGATATAATGCCTGAAGATATAGCTCTCACAGCTGGCTGCAATCTTGCCTTTTTCTCTGTGGCGACGACTCTCGCGGACGCCGGGGACGAGATGATCATTCCCATTCCGTGGTACTTTAATCACGAGTAAGTCATGGATTCGAGGTTACACTGGTGGCTGATCGACGGACAGGATGACGCTGACAACGCTGAACATCAAGCCGGTCATACTTCCGACACGTCCCGAGGACGCGTTCATGCCCTCTCCGGAACGTTGCGAAAGGCTGATCACGCCGAAAACGAAGGCAATTGTGCTCGTGACGCCCAATAATCCCGTAAGCTGAATATATCGTCACTCTTGGCAGCTGAGTCCAACTTCCGTATCTAGACTGGTGCTGTGTATCCGCCTTCGCTCATATCTGCATTCGCAGATCTGGCTCGAAAGTACAAAATCGCGCTCGTCATCGATGAGACCTACCGAGACTTTATTACTTCTGGCCCACCACACCATCTCTTCTCGTCATCAGCTCCTGTTAGTTGGCGCTCGACTTTCGTCCATCTCTTCTCCTTTTCGAAATCATACTGCATCCCAGGGCATCGTCTTGGTCTCGTCTGCGCGTCGCCCTCCTTCATCTCACACCTGAATACCGCCCTTGACTCGATCCAGATATGCGCCCCACGCCCTCCCCAGCGTGCCCTTGCCCCATTGCTTCCCTCACTTCGCACGTTTATCCGCGAGACCGCCGATGCCGTTGCGCATCGACATACACTCTTCCGCGAGGTGCTACCGAAGCGGTGGTGTATCGCCTCGCAGGGTGGGTATTACGCGTTCGTACGACATCCGTTTGTTGGCATCTCCGCGAGCAAAGTCTGCCAACGGCTGGCGGAGGAGTTAGGTGTCGTGTGCCTCCCCGCAGAATTCTTTGGACCCAAGCATAACGAGAGCGTGCAGCAAGAGCCGGAGAGATGGGTGCGGTTCTCAGTTGCGAACGTGAACGACGAGAAGGTCAAGCTGGTATGCAAGAGGCTAGCGGAGAGTGAGACGGCTTTTGGGTGGAGCATTGACCCGAAAGCATGATCAAGATCGCTCAAACGAAGCTTGGTGACTAAGTTAGCGTCGGTTGACCGTAAAATAAACTCACTCTCCTTGGTCGCAGTTAATAGACATGAGATAGTGTGCACAGTCAAACAAGGTTATAGAAATTAATGTTACAAATGGTACCAAAGCGGAACGCCTCAACGCCATCCGGTGATGATGGTTAGTCTGTACGAAGTCGACAAGAAAATGGCCAGCCGGCTAACTCCGCTCGTTTGGAAGCCTAACTCCAACAGTACCTGTCTAAACAGCTCTCACAAACACCGCTCCGCTCTATCCCTTCGCGCCGCCTGGCTCGGTCGACAACAGCACACGCCAAACACGCTGGCCACAGTGGATCCTTCTCCGCACCGTCCGCAATGCCCTGTGTAGCGAGATCGAACGCTTGAGATAACATCCCATCGACGTCGTCTGCAGAGTAGGAATATTGGAACGTAGACGTGTTCGTGAGTGGCGCTTGACCAAGGGGTGGTCCACCATTTGCAACATATATCACAAGCGGGTCGCCAGATTCGACACTGCTGTTACATCCAAAAAACGTCGGCCGCGTGCTGAGGCCTTCCTCAAGGAACGTAGCTTCAAGGGGAGGCACCGGAGGGAAAGAATATGCTTTAGGAAAGAATGCGACACGATCTTGTGTTGCCTAGTAGTATGCACTCTCAGTAGGGAGAAGAAATATGAAGTTTCACTGAATGCTACTCACAATGATGGAGCTGCCAGCTGTCCAATTTTCCTTGGTATCTGCGTTCTGAATGAGATGGTCAGAGTTGATGGGGATATGGTGGAATGGAGATCCTCACTGCATCCATGGCAAAGATGACGTCCACCTCCCGGGCCTTCACCAATAGTGGCATGAATGGTATGACTTCACCATCTTGACCGCCGTCGACCAGCTGCAACAGGGTTTCATTGCTATCAATGTACGTCTCTGGCGACATGCCATAGAATGGATTAGGCACGAGTCCAACTGTGAGGTCAATCCCGGACTCTGGTATGATTTTCTCAAGCATCTCAAGCGCAGAACCAGCAGGTGAGGATTGAACAGCGGAAGCCTAGAGCAGTGTTTCAGCTCAAAGCCTTTGTGTTCTCTAATCATGCTCACCGAGGTGTTGTACAGATTTAATTCGTTGGATGACATTCCTTGGATGAACGACAGCTGATCAAAGCCAGTGGCGCATTCGCCGTCTCCTGGAGACCCAAGATATTTGGTCGGTGTGAATGCGGACAACATAGGGTCAAACGACCCCATCTCATCTACATCCGATATGGTTAGAATCATAGTGAAGTCAAACGGCCTGCTACACTCACAGACATTGACTTCATAAATGGGATTCGTCAGAGGCACATCTAGTCCAGTCTCATTCAGAACGGCAGACATATTTCCATTAGGGGATAACGAATCAATGACCACGATTGGGAATGGTTGCATGTAATGCGCGAATGAGTCACTAAGTACAACAATTAGTAAGTGGATGAACAAACTTCAATAGTTGTGATGGATGCTTACACAGTGGAAATTGACGAGAATGTGACACCCGCACCGTGAGTGATATTTGGATTGAAGAAGTCCTCGGCATTGGTGCCATTCACAAAATGTCTTGAGAGCATCCGGCTCCAAACATCGACGACGGTTACCGGGAAACCCATCTTATGTTTGTCCACGAGTTCGTCAACTAACTGGACAAGATAGTCCTCGTCAATTGTCAAGTTCGTACTGGGCTCTATAAAATCAAACTCCGACAACCACCCACTCCAATTCTGGGGTCTCGCATCCGAGAACCCAAAGACGAGGTCGAGGAGGGTCGGGAAGTTTGCCTGTGCGAGAGATGTCACAAGCCAGGCTCCACCGGACAACCCAGTCAGGTAAGTAGCGGCTTGCAATAGTCCACCCGTTCCCGCTTGAACAGAACTTGCATTGCGACCATCGAGAGCATTCAGGACTCCTGCTCCGACGATCGCATCTCTGTATCCACCTCCGCTCGTCGCGATTCCGAGCTTCGGATAGCCGGAGGTATTGTACGAGCCACCTAGAATCTCGGAAACGTATGCAGGAAGGTCAACCGACCCATTTTTCCCACTCTCTTTCACCGTGGTGAGGTAGGACCGCCATGCGTCGGGGATTATATTCTCTTGCCTAGCAGCTGTATAGGCGTACTCCTTGTGAGTAAGATTCTGCTGGCTTCCAGTTCCGGCGCTTCGAATGAGCGACAATCCTTCAGGACATGTCGTTATGTTTGGCGCATACGCTGTCGCAGCTTCTTCTTGACCAGCAACCAGAAGAAGACTCGAGAGAATCAACAGAGGTGCGAGCATGAGGGGCGTGCTGAATGTTGGAGACGGTGCCTCTTGTGTAACATTTTATAGGCAACTGACGAATAGACAAATCATGAAGCATCTGACAATGACAGCAAACGCAAAGTCGATGTGCCACTCTTGATCGAATACAATGGAGCATGAGCGGCAATGGCGGGTACCAGCACCATGGCGGCTCTGGTACCGCCCGAGTGTTGCCCCAGATGAGTTGTCTTCCTCCTCGAGTCGGTGGTTGCGTTCGTGGTGATATGACTGGATTCAGATGGTTATCCATCCCTCTCGAAAGGAGCTGTTTGTGACAATGTTAAGTCATATACAAACAACAAAATCACCCATTATACTAGAAAAATGAGCAGACATAGCTGTACAAAATATCGTCATAATTTTCGTCACTGGTATCCTCAATCAGCGCGATCCAATACTGAGCGGCTCACCACTTAGACCATTAAGCCACCATTAACCGAGGGGCCATCATGCTCCGTTGAATTTTCCCAAGAGTGGTGCATCAATTTTGAGACTGCTAGAAGCACAAGGCATTGTCAGTCGTCAATCAGCCGCACTCCAACGAGCATGTTCATGTGCAACGATCCAAACGCTTGGAAACGGCAAACGATGACCACCATCGGATGTGGATAGGCATGGAATGCAAAGTTTGACGCGCACTCGCCTATGGACTCCCTGTCAGGAGCATTGTCACCGTTTGGTACCAGCTATTCACAGTACTTATGTCCAGGGTTAACGACAGATTGCAATCTCAGTGCCGCAACGATGCATCGACCGTCATGGCCCGAATTCGCGAAGGCTCTTGCTTCCCTGGTCTTGCAATACATCTTGATGTGCACGAAACACATCGGTAAAATCATCTGATAGATGGGGGAATGGAGAAGCAGTGCAGCTACAAGAAACTAAGATCGTGAGGTAGAACTCGCTATGTGGAGCTCACCGTGACAAAGGGACAGCGCTGACTTAGCTAATACATCGCACTTGCCGCTTGTAAAGTCAATCAGTCCTCCTGATCCAGGTATGCACCGAACATGCTCCTCTACAGCGCCGCCTCCACCGCATTAAAAGGGTCGAATCAAGCCGATGCCTCACTTGTCACCGCAAACCGGAAACCGTATGTCACTACCTGCTCGAATGCCCGACTTACCGGACACAGCGCGGCATGCTGCAAAAGCCTGGGACGTCCATCCGCACCCTGCTGTCCAATCCGGGTGCAACTAAACCGTCGATGCGATACATCCAGATCACTAGACGCTTCAAGTACGTTCAGTGACCTTATTACAACCCCGGGCCAGCCCAACCAGACCGCACCGGCCATGTCCTGCCCCTCGAACGGCGGGGCTCTCTCCCACTTTACCTCTTCCATTTTATGTCTCTCTCATTAAACAGGCTGCGTGCGGGTGGAGGCAGTCCCAGGGATGCGGGGAGTTTCGACGGGCCACGATGGAGGACCATGACTTGATGTTAGTCTCCTAGGCTTGTACCCAGCCGTTCTGACTTTTGAACTCCGCTGCGAAAGCGCTCGCTTGTCAGATCCGCTGGGCTAACTTGGCCATGTAAAAATGAGCTTAGAGAGGCAATGCTCTTGGGTCATACCGTCTCCTAGTAAAGTTCTTGCTGCATTCCATCCATTACACTCAGACAATGAGGGGCGCACTGAATGTCAGAGACACGGCTTCTTGTGCAGCATCTTATAGGCGACAGACAAATCACGAAAGCATCTGGCGATGAAGCACAAGGCATTGCCAGTCATCAATCAGCTGCAGGTCCAACAAGCGTGTTCATGCGCAACGACTTGAAGGCTTGACAACGGCGAACGTGAAATCGCCATCGGATGTGGCTAGGCCCGGAATGCAAAATTTGATGCGCACTTACCTGCGGACTCCGCCCGGTGCCAGCTATCCACAGTGCTTGCGTGCCCGGATTCAGCCACAGATCACAATCTGAGAACCACGACTATGCACCGAGCGTCGTTGCCTGAGTTCGCGTAAGCTCCTGCTTCCCCGGTCTTGCAATACATCTTGATGTACATAAAATAGAACGATCAAATCACCTGATAGATGGAGGAGAGCAGCGCGTTTACGAGGAACTAGGGTCATAAGATGAAACTTGCTGCGTAAAACTCACCGTGACAGCAGGATAGCATCGACTTAGCTAATCCATCGCAATTGCTGCTTGTCGGTTCAATCAATCAATCCAGCCGCAGCACTGTTCAAAAAGGCATCATTGGCTGCGAGTAGCGCAGAAAACGGAGGATAACTTGTGGCAGCGAATATAAGATGTATTCGCAGACAGTTTGCTTATAAAACCAACAGATTAGCAAAAAGGATGAAGGGCATGATAGAACGAATGTGTTATCAGTCGACATAGTCCCTACCTACACAGCGACATCCTCGAGACCTCGAGCATCTAATCCCAGCAATACCTATCCAAACAGCTCTCGCACACTCCACTGCGCGCGATCCCCTCCCGTCGTCGCGCACGATCCACCACCGCACACGCTAAGCATGCCGCCCACTCTGCATCCTTAGTCCCGTCCGCGATGCCCTGAGTGGCCACGTCGAATGCCTGAGACAGCATGCCGTCAAGCTCATCAGCATAGTATGTAAACTGGTCCGTTGACGTGTTTGTCATTGCTGGCTGACCGAGGGGCGGTCCACCATTAGCTAGGTAGATCACAAGCGGATCACCGGAAGCGACGGTGCTGGAGCAGCCAAAGAATGTCGGCCGTTTGGTAAGACCTTCCGCGAGGAAGGTAGCCTGAAGGGGAGGCACCGGGGGAAACGAGTAGGAATTCGGGAAGAATGCGACGCGATCTTGCGTTGACTTCATGGCAGATATGGTTAGTCTCCTTCAGTAGGCACCCAGATGGGAACTGCGACATACGATAATTGAACTCCCATCAGCCCAATTTTCCTCCGTATCCGCCGCCTGAAGGATGCAATTAGAATATACGTACACACGCAAGAACACATTCATACCGCATCAATGGCGAAGATCACCTCCACCTCGCGCGCCTTGACCAACAAGGGCAGGAAGGGGACCACCTCGCCGTCCTCGCCGCCATCAACTAGCTGAAGCAAGGTTTCGTTGCTGTCAATATACGTCTCCGGTGACTGCCCATAGAACGGATTCGGCACCAGCCCTACGGTAAGATCGATCCCAGATTCGGGTATGATGGCTTCGAACACTTCGAGGATTGGTCCAATTGGGGAGGCCTGCAGAGCAGATGCCTGTGATAGCCAATGTGCTCAAGTAAGATCATTCTGTGCAGATAGCGCCTACCGAGGTATTGTATAGATTAAATTCGTTGGAAGACAATCCTTGAATAAACGATAGTTGGTCGAACCCAGTGGCGCACTCGCCGTTTCCAGGTGAACCAAGATATTTCGTCGGCGTGAACGCAGATAGCATAGGATCGAAGGATCCCATCTCATCTGCGTTCAGAATATGACCTGATGAGTGTGACAGTACAGTATCTAACAGCAGTGCTTACACGCATTAACCTCGTATATAGGATTCGTCAACGGCACCGCCAAGCCCGATTGATTCAATATGTTCGAGGCATTTCCATTGGGGGATAATGAATCAATGACAATGATTGGGAACGGCTGCTCGTAGTTCACGAATGAGTCTCTAAGTTGACGTTTAGTAAATGAACGAATACACTATGTAATTACTCACACGGTGGCGATTGAGGAGAAGGTCACGCCCGCGCCGTGGGTGAGATCCGGGTTGGAAAAGTCCTCCAGATTCGTGCCATTTACGAAATGTCGAGAGAGCGTCCGAGCCCAAACGTCGCAGATAGTGACCGGGAATCCCATTTCGTACTTCCCGACGATCTCTTCGACCAGCTGGATCAAGTAATCCTCGTCAACAGTCGCGTTCGTGCTCACATCCAGTAGATCGATTTCTGCGTTCCATCCACCCCAAGAATTTACGTTCTCATCAGAAGACCCAAAAATCAGATCAGAGAATGTGGGGAAGTTCGCCTGCGCGAGAGATGTGACGAGCAAGTTTCCGCCCGACAGTCCAGCAAGGTATGTGGCAGACTGTAGCAATCCGCCCGTGCCAGCCTTGAGAGAGCTTGTGTTGCGTCCATCAAGAGCGTTCAGGACCCCCGCCCCGAAAATAGCGGCCCGGTATCCGCCTCCACTGGTCGCGATTCCGAACCTCGGGTATCCCGAATATCCATATGAGCCGTCTAGGATCTCAGAGACATACGCGGGCATGTCCACTAAATCGCGCACGCTCTCGGTGACGGTGTCGAGGTAGAAGCGCCACGCGTCCGGGAGCACCTTCTCCTCCCTGCCGGATATATAGACATACTCGTCCGCGCTGAGTGTCTGCCTGGAGCCACTGCCGGCATTTCGGATCAAGGACACACCCTCGGGACATGCGCCCAGAGTCGGTGCGTATGCCGCTGCTGCTTCTTCCTGGCATGCGACAAGAAGCGGGCTGCAGAGAGCTGCCAGAGGCACAAGGGCGGAGACCTTCATGGGCACCAAGGGCAGATGGCACTTGATACCTGAGCCTGTCGGCCAGCATGTTTATAGGATCGATAGGCAGCTTTTCAAACAGGCACAGAACAATACGACCGGCATACCGTTCGATCTCGGAATCAAAAGCACTATGGTTGTGAGTGCCATCGTCCCAAGTATGCCCGTTGAGTGGTTCGCGTGTGCTACTTGGCAACACGAACGCTCCGACCCGGTCACAATAGTGACAGTCACGCTCTTCATTGATGCACGTGTGACAATGCGTTGTCACGTACTAAGCGAAACGCCTCTCGTGCTCCTGCCATCGTCCACGTGCCGCACGGTCCCGTGTCGTTCGTGTGTACATGAGCCGGGGAAAGGAAATATTATCCAGGGTTTCGCCTCCCTGAATAGACTGCCATTGTCCCAAGAATGTCAGTTTCAAGAGCAGCTCTCGGCATACAGTGTTTCGATGGTCCTTGGGACACCGGTGTTCCCTGAGACACTCATTCTTCCTCTTGACCAAGGTAATGGATATAATTGGCCATGTGATATTTCATTTGTACTCTGATAAACTACATGCTAAAAAAACTTCGGGGTGAACGGCCTTCAATTGAGGTTTCGAGAACATGATATATACCCAATTCCACCTACTTTGAGGAGTTTCACAGACTCTGCAAGAGATTTAATTCTGAATTTATGAACACCACATAGCTAGCCTATTTGCATTCAACTTCACCCAATGAACCATAATATTTGGTGTAGAATTGCGCGATCTAGGAGAATAAAATGAATGCGTGACATCGTGCGTGAGGACGCACAGATCACACGCGATGGGGGTGGCGTGACTCAGAGTAGCGACCGCGCTCGATCGCAGCGTGCCACGGGGGACATCACACTGTGTCACGGTGTCCCAAGGAACCCAAAACTTGGTTTTATTCCCATAAAATTCATAAAGGACTTGAAGGCACTTCACAAAACTCCTGTACATAAATTTGGTGTGATTTCGAAGTGTGGGGCGCACAAAACGAAATATGCAAACTGGTGTCCCAAGGACCACCGAAACACTGTAAAGGATATATAAATACTCACCCATGCAGAGTCCGCCGGGTATTCCGTTTAGCTCTACGGCAATACAGCCGCCGAATATGTAGGAATCAAAGGCATGATATCGCAAAACTGTCCGATCATAGGCTCGACTGGCACATAATTCGAGATCAATGACCATTTTAAAGGCAGTGAGCGATACGCTTCGAGACGCTATGATCTCATTTGAAACCAGGGCACTCCATCGCTTAGTCAAGGGGATAAAACCTTCTAATCCTCCTAGCCACACCGACGCCCACCCGCCCGGCAGGTGGCGTTGGATGCCTCTGCTACGATACAGTTCAGCGCACTCGAACACACGCAAAGTACTTCCTGTCTACATAGGGATCGGCCCTCACGGACAATAAACGGAGAGAATAAATAAAAATAAATAAAAATAAAACCTTCTAATACGTTCTTGCGGAACGCAGTAGGCACTGGCCAGTGTTGTGCTGGGCATCCGACCGTTGGTCAGGTCAAGCTGCAGACTGCAGACTACTTGGTAAGTCTTCCGGTCGGCGGTCACCTTGCAGAGTTTACCACGCCATGCAGACTTTCCCAGACTTTGGCAGTCGAGCAGCAGCCATAGGTATAGGTATGACTGCGACTCGAGCACAGGATCGCCCTCAGCCTGTAACGTAAAATTCGTCTGAATCAGCACCTTGAAGGTTGCGTGAGGTAGTTACGCTGCACTCACCCTATCGACCGGAAAGAAAGCCAGCAAACACTGCAAGCGAGCAAGGCACCTTCTGAACGCAATACTCCAAATGGTTAGGCACGACGATTCGCGCCCGGAGATACTCGCATCAACAGCTGATCACCACAACCAGCCCGATGCCGCTCACAAAATGTCGAGAGAGAATCCGGCTCCAACCGTCAACGAAGGTCACCAGGAAACCCATCTTATGCTTGTCCACGACTTCGTCGACAAACTGGGAAATATATTCGTCAATTGTCAAGTTCATAGTACTGGGCTCGATAAGATCGATATCCGGCAACCACCCACTCCAGTTCTGGGGTCTCGCATCCGAGAACCCAAAGACGAGGTCGAGGAGGGTCGGAAAGTTTGCCTGTGTGAGAGATGTCACAAGCCAGGCTTCACCCGATAACCCAGTCAGGTAAGTAGCGGCTTGCAGTAGTTCACCCGTTCCTGCATA